CATGATATGATGCTTTTTTTTCTTTGAAAAATTCGGTGGCATAATAGATTTTACAAAGAAATAAGATTAACTTAATGAGATTTTCGCAATAGACAAATGCAATGATTAAAAAAGGGTCAGGCCTAATTTTTACAAAATTTCACTGGGAATGAAGTTTCACGACTTATCCTTATTAACTTTTTTTTTAACTAGTTCAGGGTTTTGAAACGCGAATCTGATGCAGGAATACTTCATGTTGTAGAATTTTATCGATGCATTTTCTATAAGTTTCATCTCCCATTTTTGTGCAGCAGGGACCGTGCTAGTGTTCTTGTTCGAAGGCTTTAATAGCACAGCCGAATACTGTTAAATTCGTCACCAATTGTGAGCAGCATCCTTCCAACATCTGATCACCAGAAAAACTCAAAATGGCCGATTTCAAGTAAAATCAATGACATCAATGAGTAAAATGTCTTATTCCGAAAATCATGAACTCCGCATGTCAAACGGAAGCTCCGGCGAAAGAATGTATATTAACCGATGACGTCGAACAAACCACTGGTATACAGATTATTAGGTGCCGACTCAACGTTCCGTTTGTTTTTAAGTACAATCAATTTATTCATATCAACATTAAAGGGTCATCCATATTGAATTTTATTTTATGCATCTCGATTTATTCATCTTTTCTTATGACACGTAATTGACTTTTACATGTATACATTTCTATTGAGTTTCAGAGCAACATGTTAAGTACCAGGAAGTGCACGACGGTCACTGTACAGGGATTGAATGTTGTACCCGTTGCTAAAGTCCAAAAGCAACCAAATCTAAGAAGAAGGCTGATGACAGAAAAGAGGAATCAACATCCGAGTCTGGTATTTCCACACCTGGCAGCTTGATAGAGTCTCACGGGGCCATACAACACCGGTAATGTAAATTTATCACTAAATTCGGATTGTTCTCAAATTCAAGGTGACAGTGACACCATTTTAACCAGGGTCTCTCAACAAATTTACCCCCCCCCCCCCTCCCCCCTTAGCAGGGCCAACTTTTACTTGAACCATCAGAAACCAAATCCAAAATTACAACAATTGAAGTTTGGTCAGATGTTTTTATAGTTCTTATGAGCATCTATTGTTCGATAGACAAGGACAATACCCAGACTTGCTGAAATAGCATATTCATTTTTTTTTAAAAATAAATATTCATTAATTGTTCATCAGACATTTTCATGGATATGAAGTAAGGGTTATCGACTGAGATAGAGGGGTTCAAGTTAGATGAACACCCGAGCTCGTGTTGAGCTATCACAGGCCCTTTATCACTCAAAATCGCTAACAGGGATCAATGCATTATTTTTTATTGTGTACGTCATAAATTGTAGTTTACAGCAGATGGGATGAGGGCAATAACCTTAAAATAACAAGCCTCTACCTGTCTGTTTATGATGCATACAGTTTCAGATCATTTCATTGTCAGGTTTTTGAAATACAATTTTTAAGAAATCTGGGTTGTATTTAAGCCCATTAGCTGAATTTCAGGTTTTCGACACTTTTTATAGCCTATTGATTTTCAATGCTTTCCAATAATTACTTCCTTAAATGCTCTGTATACTAAATATTAGTATACGGCAAATCTGACAATTACTTAAAGAAGATACCTAATGGGTTGTTATTACTCGTAATCAGATTTTAGTGTGTTGTAAATGTTTTCCTTACTGACAAAAGAAATAATATGAGACACTCTTGTTGACCGCCCCGTCGACTTAGCTGCTGTGGGCGTATGTATCGTTGCCTGGTAACCTATCTTTAAAATCCACAACAGGCCAATATATAAAGTAATATTTATTTGGCGGGAATGGGGTATGATGCATTAACTGGAATACGTTTTACATTCACGATTCGTCAGCCACAGAATAAACTAACAACCATATGCGGATGTGAAAAAAAATATCACGCGGAAATGGTATTGTAGTTAGAATAGACATTCATAAGGAAAGATTAAAATTATCTTTAAATTTTTTTTATTCCAGTTGGCTAAGTTTTGTGTTTTTGTTCCTTATACTATTGGGTGAGTTTTCTAGTGACTATTTCACCAACTAAAAACCCTTTAAACGTATTTATCTTTTTTAATTAACACAGTACTTTTTGTTATTTCTAATACAGTGCACGCATTAACATGCATGGTCTGTTTTCCACAATCACCGGGTTAGTATGATCACCTGTGTACGTACTAAAACAATACATGATCAGTATCTTAAACACCCGAGTCAGAATAACGGGTCTAGTGTGTAACTCTCAATATGTCCAGTCTGGTGAACATGCCAATCCTATGAATAATGTATTAATTGTTTAGTTACCTTTGTTTTATTTCTTATATTGTAAATTATGCCAACACTTGAACTCGAAAGGTCATTACAAGTAATTCAATATATACTTTTCAAAACAAATTGGGGGTCATTAAGAACAATACAAAAATGCGGAAATGCACTGCTGTTTTATTTAGAGGTAACCAGTGTATGTTAATAACAGGCCAATTGCCTACACATGAACATAAACAGTTCATGTGGGCGGCTTATCTGGCGGCCCCATTTAACTCGCAAAGAAATACACCGGCAAAAGTGAAAATGGACGTTTTTGATTTTTGTCTTGATAATGAGTAATTGCTCCACCAATCCTCAGACATTCAGCAATTCGTCGTGGCATGCTCCTAATCAACTGTCCAATCATGACTTGGGGCAATCTGACCCACTCCTCTCTGCAGTGCCACGGACAATTCTTGCAGTGTTGTCGGTTGACGTTGACGTCGACGAACACGTCTCCCGATCAAATTAAACGTAACACACTAAAGCAAATATACGCTAAACAGTAAATCTTATGCAAGAACCGATAGGAAAGCAAACATGGATAGATAAACCAGCACGCGGCAGTTTTCATCAACCCTTCCTTGAAGTGTCAAATTTGAAAATGAACCCCTCCCACGTGTATGACGCTATTGCGTGTCGAATGTGCAGCTCAGTGGTTCTGTTGGTGCGATAAGTTCTTCATCTGTGAACATACTCTCAAAGCATGTCAAGTGTCCATGACTATTAATCATATCGCAACCTGCATAGGTATTTGCATTTCAATATCTCCTACTTTTTTGAAGAGTATATATATATATGTGATTGAACTTGATACATCAGAAATGAAATGAGGGTTTAACGCCCTACTGTTCTGCTCCGACTGGGATAATGAAGGCGGGCTAGGAAAGAAATTTTGCCCGGACAGCGGCACTATGTGCATGGTCTACTCCTCTATTGACATCCAACTGCCAAGGGATCTTGTACGTACACGCCAATGTATACATGGGGCCTTGATTTTTTGTCCCATCCGAACGACTAGACAGCTCTCCAGCCTGCACCACTGACTCGGCCAATGCAGTGATCGAACACGCGACCTCTAGGCTAGCGAGTCAGCGTCTTACCCACTTAGCCACCGTGGCGCCCTTGATACATCAGTCTTAAGTCTATCCCCAGTCTTCATTAGCCCAGTCGGAGCAGAACAGTAGGACGTTAAACCCCATTTCATTCAAAGTCTATCCGACTTCGCAGCATTGAGTACAAGTCGTTTTTCCGCGGTCCTGTAATTGTATGTAGATAATCCAAACTTTTGTAAAATCTGAAGTACCAGCACGGTGACAAATGTTTCCCGTGACATATTTAGCAAATACTTAGTGTGTTGTTTCACGTAGCGCCTTATTTCACGTAGAAGGCCGAGGTTTTGCGTGCCGTAACCTATTGCTGTAATGTGTCTCGCACAGAAATTATCGTAAAGTGTGGACGAGAAGTTAAACCCGTGTACTCGTTATTTAAGACGACATTTTGGTTTTATTTTAGTGTTCTTTTTAAAGAATTACCTGTAAGATGTCATTATATTTTTTAAGGTTACATTGATTTGGATTTGTGGTCGTTTTGCGTTTAGAAATACTCAGATTGTTAAAGTTACAATTTCATATTTTTAAGTGATATTTTTAAAATGTATTAAAATAAAGCCCTAAAATAGATAGTATCTATAAACAGTCCTACCTTGTTAAAGGAATAATCCTATTAATCCTATAATTCACTATTGCCAGCTGAGAAATTGGCAAAAATATCATTTTCAACTTCAAATTCAAACGTTTGAAGATAGCTATTCCATGGTGGGGGAATAGGAAAACAAGGGAGGTAATTGGGAGGTAATTGTGTTATTATTTCCTGTGTGAAGATTTTTAAGTGTGAGAAAGATAACCAATGATCGTATAATAGTGAGTTGACAACCTATTGAGCAAAAGACATATAGAAATAATTATGTTTTGACTTTCTTAGAAAATATGAAATTGTAACTTTAAGACCCTGCAGCATCAGACATGTTTTAATGTCACACTGTTGGACATTCATGATCTAAGAAAATAAGTCAGCATTCTTTCTATAGCACTAGCTTTCTTTAAAGGCAAATGACGCATTATGTCAGAAATCATAGTTTCTGTTTCATCAGAAATCCGATGCCGGAGTTCTAGTCCACAAAACATTCATGCATCCCTAGACACCTGCAAACAAACCTAAACAGCTGAATCTAAAGACGCCTAGACATGAGCTCGGAATATTTATACGTAAGGTTATTCAAATGCGTCACATATCATGGGGTTATCATAGAGATATGGTCTGTTGCTCTGTTTTAAATAATATATCAATATATTTGTAGACAAACGGGATATACATGACTTCAAATACACTTTTCTGTCTTGGTTAAGTACATAGTAATTATTATATTTTTCAGTATCGGCGATTGAACTGTATCGGGTATTGAGAAAGTCGATGGAGAGATGGTTACATATTTTCATTTTTAATTGGAATTGTTGATGCAAAAAACATATCTGCAACACACTCCAACTTTGAAACAGGTGGTTTTCGAAACAATGGAGGCACTAGACTGACTAGAGATATTAAGCAGTGTGGAAATTACTGACAGGGATCAAACAATTTGAGTCTAACACCAATGTAATTTCCGTTTGGGTATTACTATTTTATTGCTAAAATACCAAAACAATATTATAATCACTTCCTCCTTAATCACGTTATCCATTTGTCAATCGGATATTGCACTTTTTCTAACGTTATTCACCAGTAAGTCTCAAATCAGTTTAACGAAGAACCAGTTTCTCAGCCATCGAATAAAGTCCATTGACACTCTGAAAGCAAATATAATGACAAAAACTATAAAATAGACAGTTTGTATATGACTTTTCGCTATAGGAAACCAAATTGTTGAAATTATAACTTAACTTCACATTCACCAGTTTTTTCAAGATAGAAAATGGAGATGTTTCACTCGGGCAACTAAAATATAGTTACTTACAAAATTATAGAAGCAATCAAATATATAAATAATAATTAACATGTCACTAGCGGATGACCCGGCGCTGCACGGGCTGAAAGTAGTATAACTCCGGAAGCGGTAGGCCAACGCCACCTAGCCTGTTTTATTCCCCGATTAGTGCTAATTGATAAGGCCAGCTGAATATTTCGTCATAGGTCACGAGATATAAACAGGGCTAGCGCTAATCCCAACCCTCTCCCTGGACCTAGCCCCAATGATCACCCTAACCCTAATCTACAATGGCACCAACAATCACGTGCACTAACTTTGTTAATAGTGCTAATTGATAAGGCCAGCTGAATATTTCGTCATAGGTCACGAGATATAAACAGGGCTAGCGCTAATCCCAAATTATAGAAGCAATCAAATATATAAATAATAATTAACATGTCACTAGCGGATGACCCGGCGCTGCACGGGCTGAAAGTAGTATAACTCCGGAAGCGGTAGGCCAACGCCACCTAGCCTGTTTTATTCCCCGATTAGTGCTAATTGATAAGGCCAGCTGAATATTTCGTCATAGGTCACGAGATATAAACAGGGCTAGCGCTAATCCCAACCCTCTCCCTGGACCTAGCCCCAATGATCACCCTAACCCTAATCTACAATGGCACCAACAATCACGTGCACTAACTTTGTTAATAGTGCTAATTGATAAGGCCAGCTGAATATTTCGTCATAGGTCACGAGATATAAACAGGGCTAGCGCTAATCCCAACCCTCTCCCTGGACCTAGCCCCAATGATCACCCTAACCCTAATCTACAATGGCACCAACAATCACGTGCACTAACTTTGTTAATAGTGCTAATTGATAAGGCCAGCTGAATATTTCGTCATAGGTCACGAGATATAAACAGGGCTAGCGCTAATCCCAACCCTTATTCACGAAAACTTAAACTAAGATACAATCGAAATTTTAAGAAATACTGCAATTCGATTGTCTGACCAGTAAAATCAATTTGCATATATCCAATGAGGTTGCAGTATTTCTTAAAATTTCGGTTGTAACTTAGTTTAAGTTTTCGTGAATAAGGGCCCTGTTTTAATACAATATACCAGTATGTCAATTTTCATATTCCATATGTGCAAGGAAATTGTGGGTGCTGTAAATTATATCTCGAATTTTGAATTGTTCAAATTGTTGTAAATTATATCTCGAATTCTGAATGAAGACGGGGTCTCAAATTGTTGTACATGTAGATTTAAACTCAAGCGACCGTAGTTGCTATCTAAAATTACCTCTGCTTGGTAGAGTTCATTCATTTCTTTACTATCTTTAAATTTCTTTGACATACCATGCTTATATTCTTCAATCTAAAATACCAAACAAAATTTATAGTATTAGGCATAGAACCAACTAAGAGGTTCAAATACCAGTTACTAAGAAGCCGAGCTGACAAATTGGACATAACTTGAATAATTCCTCAAAGGAGCTAAATCTTATTCTTTGGCACATAATATGGACGAAATGAGTCGAATATCACACAATTATTCTTATATTGTAAGTTTTTGATCAGTTATGTTTGGCGAAATACGTGAGTAGGCCAAACTGGATATCATTCTTTTGCGCCTGGTTATTCATGTCTATATAGGAAGTACAGTTTGATATTTCACTTCGGCACCGACGTTTTGCCTGGTTCACCAAGGCGCCTAATCACAAATGGCGTTCGAGAGCAAAGAAAAAACGACGTCGCAGACTGATTTTAAAATTTGCATTGTGTCTTTAAATAATGGATATCAAGAGGCAATATTAATTAAAAATGACCAATATATGATTTTATTGAATTTAATGCCAAAGATTAGGGATACTATTTAGATTTAGCTACTTTAAATTTGATCGGTGGGATCAAAGACTTTTAAGCTCCATCTATTTTAACGTGTAAATATTCAAATGTTTTTTGAACGAACGAATGAAATTCAGAATTTCTCGACATTCGAATACAATCGGAATGTTCTGGACCTCAATAAAGAACAATACAGAAAATATACAATTGTGGAATATCCACATTAAGTTAATATACATGTGTTAGCATTAGCATCATTACAAATCCCCCAAAATATCAATATTTATCATACAAAGAGAGAGACAAAGGAATCATTGGCTTGTCTTTAATTTTATATCCTTTTCAATTAATGGCGACGTAAGGGGTAGCGGGTGGTTCAAAGGAAAGACATTAAATACGTCTCGTTTACTTGATAAAAACACACAACGTCTCCATGCTAAATATAGCCGCCTTTTTCTTGGAAGTTTTGATAAATTGAGATCTCGGGGGAGTGAAATTTACTTTATAGAATTCAGGATTGATCACAACAAATGACTTTTATTCATTAGTTTAATGTCGTGTCACGTCTAGCGTCTAACTATAGTCAACTTGCCATTCCATAGTCCGATTCCTAGTGTTAAACTTCGTGGTTATCGACACTTCACCGGAATGTTCAAATCAATCATTTTTCGGTTACTTAAATCGGAACGTGGCGCGGCTATATTTATACGTGCGAGAAAATAATATGTTGACATAGGCTGCATTAGAAGAAGATGTCAACGATATTTGTCTCTTCAAGGTGATAAATTTGTTAATTATGAGCTAATAAAACTTGTTGTGTGTCGTAAAGAGTTCATGGGCAATCACCTATTTCAATTTCAGCCGCCAGCATTCCTAATTCTTTTTAGAAACATGACCTTGGAATCCAATTGAAAATTTAAAAGAACATGAATTCTCGAATCAAATACCCTTAAGATTATATAACTTTGCCAACTTGCGCGAGACGTAAAAGACATCCGGGTGGGGGTGAGGGCAAAGGTAACAATTATTAATTCTGGTGTTTTGGTATGGTGAATGCCACTAGCCTAACAATTAGACCTGAAGAGTGTTCAATGTTCCTGTACAATGAAGTTCCTCTTTCACCCCCTGTTAACGTTGCGGCAAACAGATTTCTTCTATGGTGTAATCGCTGAGATTACAAGTACCCAAATGAATTATATTAAATATTTTTCCAAAGAAACTCTTCAGAATTACTAAAAGCTAGTTTCGTGCTTAATCCATGTTTAGTTTGAAATTTACATTATTGATTTTGTTCTTGGGTAAAAAAAAATCATCACGTTTATTTCCATAAATGCCGTTTTTAAAAAACGAAATCAATGTATTTAATTGTGCTATTACATTCAAGTTGTATCAATAATATATACCATTACATTTCGTAGCAGGACACTGACGTTAAAGATGGTTGTTGATGTCTAAGAACGAATGCTGAAAATATGGATTCATCTCGATAAGAGCGTTTTTTGTTCAATAGCACCCAAGGCATTGCAAAAAGTAAAGATATGTTATAGATATGCATATCTACATATCATGGATAATTAAAAATTTGGTAGAATATGGTCTTGTTAATTAACGACAAGAACGGGGTGTTTCTTTTTATTAGAGATTTAAACATCACTGCTGCTAAATCGGAAACGGATATATAACATCCAACAGTTTGTCATATTTATGACAGATTTCAAGCATATGATGACCTAATTCTGGCACGAATAAAACATATTTCACTAACAGAAGAACACGATTCTGGAAAAGTAGACATAACAATCCACGTAATTGCATAACTTATACATGTTTTATAAATTTGTACAATTATTTTCCGGTTTGGGCCCCACATTGTCAATGATGTAGGACGGAAGGCCTGGCAAGCAACGTCTACATTGATGTGCCCGTCTAACAACCCTAGAGAGTTGGAATGGATATAACAGTAGGTCGTGGCACCACGTCATTTAATATCTACCAAATACATACGGTAAACATTTATTATTAATAAATAAAATAGAATGAGTTGTGTAAAATTTTCGTGAATCAGATTATTAATTATCTAAGTTTTACGGTAATCAAACTGCGATAAACAATGGACAAAGGCATGGCTAATGTACGAAAGCCCAGAAGGCTCATTCCAAATTCCAAATGCGAAATTCCAAATGCGAAATTCCAAATGCGAAATTCCAAATTCATGTCTTACCGATAAAATAGCAAATTCGCACCCCCCCCCCCCTCAATTAAAGGCCCAATACCACTCCTGTTGTAAATGAATATTATGTCCCAATCTTTATTCTAGTCAACAAATTGTACTATTTTACAATATTCCAATTAATTGATGATACAAATTTCATCTTAACACACCTAATTTAAAAAATTGGAAAAATTCAACTAAATGATTTGAAAAGCCTAACGTAAACCTTTTCAAATTTGACTTGGATTTTAAAATATTTTCGAACCCTCTGGACAAGTAAAATAGGGTGTAATGGATAATTTACACAACAGGTAGGACACATAAACATCTAATACTTAGAATAAGGCTATTATTTATTTTCTGGAACTGTCAAGCCAGCAAGAGTGTTATCGTCCCTTTAAACAAATTAGATATAAATTGTAATTTTACACAACTACATGTAATTACTTCTAGTTTACCTATCTGGGCCGGATAAATACCCGTTCCAAATTCCAGATTCCAGATTCCAAATTCGAAATGCGAAATTCCAAATTCCAAATTCCAAATCTGATCCGACCAATCGGATCAGGTTTTTGCTTTTGACTAATCAGTTAGAGTATAATAACAATATTCCAGTTCGGGTTTGCTTCGGCAGATGTGAACAGTTTGGGGCAAAGTTCCTCTGCAGTGAGCTACTCTGCTACTCGGTATCCTAGGACTGGCATTTTTTTTTTTTTTTTGCTACAGCTGCAAATTTGGAATCTGGAATTTGGAATCTGGAATTTGGAATCTGGAATTTGGAACCTCGAATTTGGAATGAGCCTTCTGGGCTTTCGTACTAATGCGTCTAACAGTCATTTAACCGAGCATCAGTGTTGACCGACAAGTCGCATAGAAGTCTCACGGGAAGGAAGGAGCACGGGAAGCGACTGGGTAGAAAGATGGTGACCCAGTCATGTGGAAGGTAGGTCATGTACGTTATTTGTAAATTTGAGGGACTGTGCCAGCCTTTTATTCAAGATATGCATTGCCAATTTAACTGCTAAATAAATAGAATATAATATTTTTTTCTAGAAATTATAGACCCACTACTTGCATCGCATGAAAGCGCCTGAAGTTCGCACAAACTGTTGCGACTCTCAATACTTCAAAAATGGATGGAGTTCGTAAACTATATTCCTACATTTGCAGTTTTTCTTGATTTTGAAATGTTTTTAACCATATAATTGTTAGGCCGTCAAAGTTCAGCTTGTCCGGGATCCCCCCCCCCCCTTTAAAATTATTCATGCTGAAAATATTAAAACGCATCATTATAGGTCCAGTTTGCAGTAACTCGTAGGACTAAAGCTTTAGCTGAGATTTGTCCATTACACATGCATTATGCAAGAGCTAAATCTGCCTATTGCAGGACTTTCTTTAGGCCTGAAATGTTTTCTAAAGTATTAATTAGACTGATCAAGGCCTTAATCAACTCTCGATGGCATCAGATTTCTCCGATATTAAATAGATTAGAATGGTTCAGCGATACTTTGATTTAATCAAATATGGAAGACTGAGACTTAGCTTCGATCAACCAGTACGGTGGTTGAAATTATTGCACACGTCTGTCAAACCTTCAAAGGATAATATCTTCGCTTGCAATAGAGTAATTTGAATGAAATTTTCAAATTATTCATTTTACATCATCTACTTTCGAACTATTATAGCAAGAATGGCTAGTTCTTTATCTAAATCTTACATAATGTATCTTTAAGTAACGTTTCAATTCATAACATGACTTTACGTACGTTATTTCTTTCAGAAACTGCACTAGGAGATCTGGATTTATTTTGGATGGATTCCGCACTGGACTCAGACATCTGCACGGGTTCTTTCTGGTAGACAACTTCTATCTGTGTACAAACGTCCTGGAAGTTTAATAGAATAAACCATGGCATGGTGTATTAAATTACCGATTGTTATTTTTCCTGTTACCGTCACTACAAAATTAAATATACTTTTCGAAATGACACACTTGGGCTATTATATTGGCTTTGTTATTACCACTTGATCAGCTTTCACAGGTTTTTAAAGTCACTCTACTAAATGGAACACTATTTCTGGCATTTCGTGCGTTTCTTCTTTTTGGACGAATTATTTTATTGACTTGTTTTCATTTAAGAAAACTCCCACGCTCACTAATTAAGATATCCTTCACATTAGACTTATAACTGAATTGGGTTAACTGTCACACAACATTAAAATTAAACAATAAAATTAATATCTTTAAGTATAGACTTATACCACTTACTTCTGTTGGGCGGTATATATTTTGATGATTATCATAGCTATGGCTCGAAATTTGCTGACAATTTTTCTTTTGCTTCTGAAAAACAAAACTTGGGTTATATATTACTTAAACTGGGACTTTTAAACTTATTTCATATATATATACTAAATCACCTGATCGCCATAAATAAAATCAAACCGACTAATTATGACTTAATACGAATCCAATGATATCTATTAACACAATTACTGACCAAAGCGAATATTGAATATTTGGTTTACATCCGTTTTGACCATATCGTCATGATTTACATTACATGACATGACCAGGCCCGGATCAAGGCGGAGGCTGACTAGGCTACATGCAGTAGACTCAATATTAAAGGGGCTCCCAAATTAATTCTAAAAATTCGTACCATAGATAAATGACTTGTGTTACGGTAGACTGTAACAAAAGGGGGGGGGGGGCATAACATCTTAAGGAACCAGTGGGCATACGCTGGAATGCCCCGCCCCTCCCCCTTCCGTCTTTTTCACTATTTCCACGTTTCCCGGTCGGTGCAGAAAAGTAAAGAAACCACATGTACTCCCATTCTATCGGGACTAGCATATTTTATTTCAATAAATCGGTTGCGCGTAGGGGTCTTTAGCAGTGGGAGGACACCGGAAGACCCGGAGAAAACCCACACGGTTGGACAGGCGACCCCTACTCCTTGTCACTTACAACCGGGGAATGGTATCCACACCAGTTGACTCAATGACAGGCCTTATGATACAAAGCGCAAGTGCTAACCATTCGTCCCCCCCACCACAGCAAACATAATATATTGGAGTGCATTCACTGCAGTCGGTCTCACAATTATTCATAGACGACAGATTGATGAGGTAAAACAAAAAAAGGCCAAAATAGACGGGGAAAAATCCCAAATACTTAAAGATACTTTCCAACAAAAGTTTTTATCGGGTGGTTATTTCCATTAGAAGTAAGGCAATTTTGGTATATATGGAAAGTAGAAACATCCAGTCTTACCATAAAATACTGGATCCCTGATAAACACCCATTGGGCGCATACAGGATAAAAATGTAAGGGTTTCCCTAACCGGCAACTCGACGATTAGGGATGTCGGCTCGAGTGACAGATAATATACGTGTTTTTATGTACTTTTTAATTGATTTTGAACTCCAGCAGTAACTAGGTTCCAAATGAATTGCGTATAATGGTTGATAAAATTAATGTCCATACACTCGTATGACCGTGTAATATATGCTGTGTAGCGCACTTTCGCGGTTGCTGGGCTGATTTGATAACTGTAACGTCTTGTCGTGTCATTCTTCGCAAAAAGACGTGTATGAAAACTAGCCTGTCCTCAGTCATATCAGTATCAGCCTGTCCTGTATATATTTTCTTAGAATATATCACCATTTGTTATTTACGATCCATAGGGAGTTTAATAAGTTGTAGTACCGGGTGACACAAAAAAAGCGTTCATCACCTAAACTTGAATAACGAAGAGGGGTCGTCAGGGACCTCCAGTGGTTCCAGCAGGATGGTGCCACCCCCCACACATCAAACGAAACATTGGCATGGCTACAACAGCGTTTCCATGACCGACTGATCAGCCGCAGGTGTCACCCGGAGTGGTCGCCGCATTCACCGGACTTGAACGCCCCAGATTTTTATCTGTGGGGATACCTTAAGGACAGGGTGTATGGCAACAACCCCCAGACTATACCTGATCTGAAGGCAGCAATCACAGCAGCAATAAAAGCGATCCCAGGGGAAGAATGTAGGAGGGTCATCGAGAACTTTGCCCGCCGGATCCAAATGTGCTTTGCAGCACCGGGGAGCTCATTTAGAGCACATTTTTTGAGCGCCAGTTAAACAAAGAGTTTTTGTGGTACAGACTTGAAACTTTGGAGTTGTCTGCTACATAGACTTAACCTAATGTAGCTGAATTTTTGTGTTAATCTAAATAAAATTTTGGAAGTTATTCGATTTTTATTGATGAACGTTTTTTTTTTGTGTCACCCTTGTATTTTTATTCACTTGTTGAAAATCTTCAAATTTGACCAGTCTGATTGTGATAGAATGGCCACAGCAACCATTAAGCCCGTCGTACACGAGCAAAGAAAACTTGACAAATTTCTTTGACGATCTCTTCGAATGTTCTTTGACCGTGTACGAAGCCAGCAATTTATTTGACGGCCTATCGTACACGGGCATAAGTTCCAAATCTTTGACACATTTATTTGACGAAAAGCTATGCATGCCAGCTTTTGTCAAATCTCATATGGCAAATGAGAATATGGCAAATTTCCTGTCGTACACGAGCAAATTTTCTTGTGTACGACGGGCTTTATTGTCAGACCAGAATTGTAATGAAATTTACATTATCTTTTAAATACACCCACTAATTTTGGGTTTCAGGTGTGTGTTTCAAATTTCCATTTGTCAAAGAAAATTTGCTCGTGTACGACGGGCTTTATTGTCAGACCAGAATTGTAATGAAATTTACATTATCTTTTAAATACACCCACTAATTTTGTGTTTCAGGTGTGTGTTTCAATAAGGCAGGCTTTTTGGCCACTGCAAATAGAAACTAGTACCCAGGAAATAATTATTTTAAATGATATAATGTTGAACTTATGAACCCTAAAAGTCAGACTCTTTTCTCTACAAACGGATAAATCTCAACTAAAATACTGCGAATTTTATTATTTAAATTTGAGCCAAGTATGTTCAACACGATACACTTTTGCTACCAAAGAGTTTTATATGCCCACTTTAATCACATTTCCCCAAATCCATATTTCTCAGTGGGAGCATGCCCCCGGACCCAATAGAAAGCTCGCAACTGCGGTGATCGGCTCATGGCTGCATCACTCGTATTAGTCGGTCTCGTTCTTTCTAACACCCCCCACCCCCTACCAACAAAATCGATACAGACGCCCTTGTATGGGATGTCATTCAAAATTTCATTCGACATGTATTTATTTGGCTTTGCCTTATATGCGCTGTCTTAATAGTAATAGGAGCTAGATCACAAGTAAAGAATAGCATTCACATTCGCCTGCATGTACTGGGCCAGACTGATGACAATCAGGTAAAATAGCTGCAGGCCAAAGGATATAATTTTAATCATTCAAACCTAAAAAACTTGATTTTCGAGGTCTTTGGTTGAAAAACAAAATGAAATAACTAAATTACTGTCCAATGTTATGGCTTATACACGGATTGCTAGAACGGTTTCCTTTGATTACGAAATCATATCAGACAAAAAAGATAGGTTGCCAGGCAACGAAACATACGCCCACACCAGCTAAGTCGTCCGGTTGTCAACAAGGGTTGTCGCATGTTTTTTCTTTTGTCAGTAATGAAATCATTTACAACACAGTAAAATCTGATTACGATTAATAACCCATTAAGTAATTATCAGAAATCATTAAAATTTGTTTCGATTGTTTGTCTCATGACCTTAAACACTGTGTATAAATTTATATTAACTTTAGCCTATAACGCGTCAACAAGATTTCTCAAGTCATCAAGGGCGATAACTCTGACAGTAATTATCGGAAATCATTGAAAAGCAATTGACGTCTTCGTCTCATAACCTTAAACCTGTGTATAACCTGTGTATAAATTTATAGTCAATCGGATATTAACTTTAGCCTCGAAGCTGTTCACAAGATTTTTCAAAGTAATTATCGAAACTCAACAGGCTTCATCATCTCTTCAATTTAACTTTAGCCTCTAGAGCGTCCACAAGATTTTTAAAGTGACCAAGGACAACAACTCTGGCGGACGGGGGCAAGGACAATATACAACTACATACGGGTTTAGCGTCTCGTCAGTGCACAATAATGTCATATGGCAATTTTGCGCGGGTGGGTGGGGTGGGAAATGAGATGGGCTACCCTGGGTCCAGGGGGTCACGGTGGTTAAGTGGGTAAGATGCTGGCACGCCCTGGAGGTCGGGTGTTCGATCCCTTCATTGGCCGAGAAAGTTCATTCACATTTTCCGGCGTAGTTCCCGTGGTTCCCCCTTGTCAGTGATGCAGGACGGCGGGCCTGACAAGGGCAGCTGTCTAGTCTTTAGGATGGGACGAAAAAACAAGGCCCCGTGTACACACTGGCGTGTACGTAAAAGATCCCTTTACAATGGAATTCGATGTAAGAGTAGACCTTAGTGCTGCCGTCCGAGAAAAATTTCACTCATAGCAAACTGTATGGCGTATTCCGTCTTCATTAGCCCAGTTCGGGACAGAACAGTAGGGCGTTAAACACCATTTCATTTCATTTCTTCTGGGTCCACACAGATACAGCATTGTAGCTCAAAATGAATGAATGAATGTATGAAGTTTAACGTCGTGACTGTCTGCACCTACCTGGCTAATGCAGACGGAACTCAAACGAAAACTTTCATCGATTCGTGTATTTATGTAATTAAAACATGGAGATCGTTCAGTCGTTTGATAGTTTGTCCAGACGGGGCTGTGATTCTTCCGACATGTGATAAATACTAAAGTTTAACTTCCCCAGTGTTTTCTTAAACACTTTAATTGAAAGGTTAGGTCACAGTTTCGTATTATTTGGGCTCTTGCCAGTAAATAATCGTGATTTAACCGTTCGCAATGAGCAGCACCATGCACGAGACAGGGTTTGCTTATTTCATATAACATGTAATGACACTTCTTCTGCACTAGCTATCGATCTATACTTTTTTTTCTGGGGTATCAACACATATTTCTAGTTAAACCAATGCTAAAGCTCATAAAGCGGGTTCATATATAACTTGATATGAAAAATGGTTTTCATCTGACCAACAAATAAAAATTAAAAATTAATTAAAATTAAAATTAAAATTATTTATTTATGCCAATTCAATATAGGACATATTCAATCTAACATTGGTTTGTTGAACTTACTATTGTACATGTTGCGTGTGCAGTGCGAAACTATATTTTCGTTAGCAATGGGTTTACTGTTAGCAACTAGTAACTTCTGCCAAACCCATCATCATCCAAGTCATACTTTTGACCAAATCTGAACGATAAAAAATACCACTGCGTAAAACGTAGTCTTCGCTATACTATAGTAAAATGAGCTAAACGTCTTTGACTTATTAACAAAATAAAATGTAGAATTGGATTCGTCTGATATTTTGTATGGTGTATGGACACTTGAAACTTGAAACCTGCATCATACCGTTGAACAGATGGAATAAAAAGAGACCTTTACTTGAAGATGTAAATTAACTAGACCAATCAGTTGTTTGACCTAAATGTAAATTTCGATTAAAGATGTCGCGCCTTTTTTACGATTAAGAGTGGTTTAGGTTAGTGACCTAAATACCGAAATTGTATTTTACTTCACTACATGACGAAGTTAGTAAGTAAGGAAATTGATTCGCCTACGACTACACCTACATACATGATAGAAATTATATTCTATTATACAGTAATTAGTTCCTATGAAAGATATCCCCGTTTTAGAAAATGCGAGGAAACAAGGGAAATGAAATGTAAACAATGTTAGCTTTAATCATAAAGAAATCATCCATCTATAAAGGGTAAAATCTTTCGCAATTCAAATTATTTTGTGTAGAGCGCATAAAAATAACTGAATGTGCCAGTATTCTAATCGTGGTTATCTCCCCTTTCCTATGACTATTTACCTTGAAATAATACACTCTGAATTTGAGTGGAATGTTTGACACCTGAATATGTACGGTCCAATAAAATGTTAAGCCGAAAAGCTACAGGTGTAATTGGTGACCGTGGCGCACATGGATTTGGTGATGCCCGGGGACAACTCCTTGAATATGCATACATCCAAGTACATGGCTTACTATTCTGTCCCACACGGTGCTGTGCACCACTGAGTGTTGTTGACTGACTTAATTAGATGTTTTTATTAAATTGTGTAATCAGCGAATTAATAACCGGGGACCACTTTTCTACTTGGATTTTTCCACTCGGGTGATTCACTTACTGATTAAGTCACCAATATAACTGAATATAATGTTCTCAGATGAGTCCAGATTTACTCTGGATTTCATCGATAGGCGTGCTCGTGTTTGGAGGCGTGTAAATGAGCGTCATGCGAACGTTAACGTCAGACAGCATGACAGATTCGGGCGTGGGTCTGTTATGGTGTGGGGTGGAATCACCATAACTGGCAGAACAGACTTGCATATTCTTTAAGGAAGGGTCACTGGTGTGTACTACCGTTACCGCATCCTTTCACCGATAGTTCTGCCCTTTGCTCAACGTGCAGGTCGACGTTTCATCTTTCAAGATGATAATGCCCGTGCCCACCGCGCTCGTGTCGTGAATGACTACCTCCAGCGTTACCATATTGTCAATATGCCTTGGCCAGCCATGAGTCCTGACCTTTCCCCTATAGAGCATGTCTGGGACATGATCGGGAGACGTGTTCGTCAACGTCAACCGACAACACTACAAGAATTGGCCGTGGCACTGCAAGAGGAGTGGGCCAGATTGTCCCAAATCGTGATTGGATAGTTGATCAGGAGCATGCCACGACGAATTGCTGAATGTCTGAGGATTGGTGGAGTAATTACTCATTATTAAGACAAAAATCAAAAACGTCCATTTTCACTTTTGACAGTGTATCTCTTTGCGAGTGAAATGGGGCCGTCAGATAAGCCGCCCATATGAACTGTTTATGTTCATGTGTAGGCACATACCTATATTTGATTAGAAATATTCATTTACTTAGATTCTGACCTGCCTTCCTATGCTCTTAGTTTTGGGACCTCATTTTTGTAGTGCTGGTTTTGGTCTATTATACGTCATCTTCTCCGGGGCATTCTATTGTGGAAGGTATGTAATCTCCTGATTTTCAATACCTTTCCATTGAAACTTCCAAATGTTTATATACAATGATCGAATCCTAAATACAGATGTGAGCAAGCACGGTCTGAATCCTGAAATATTTTTGATATAACCTATTTGGCACGAGGAACGTTCAAGTAACCAACCATGAAAAAAAAGGTGATAATCAGTTTGTGATCGTGGGCTAATAGTTCGGTTGTCCAGTTTTCCGCGGAACATTTCCAGTTACGAAACGTACTGTAGATATTTCTGCCACCTTCCCGCTACTATTGACAGCGTAGTGGTTTTTAATCCGAGAGCTATATCATAATCGTACAATATTACTATGTGTAAATTGCATTGGAAATTCGTGAAAGTTGTCGAAAGTGGTCTAACACGTGCGCTTTAGGTCATAGGATTTGTCATAGGAATAAAGTGGTGTGGTTTCCATTACAAGCTTGTAGGTAACACGGTATAATGTTGTCTGTCCAGTCTCTTGGATTCTCTCTTTTCTCGCAAGCGAATTATTGAATAAAACTGTTGCTAACAAAATGACCTAGCTTTTGTCGAGTGGAATTTAAACCCCATTTCTCCCTCTCAAGTCAAAATCATCCTTGATAACGACTAAATGGAATATATGAACTTTAAAAGAAGTCCAAACATATTCATCACCATATTTTAGTCCCAAAATGACCTAGCTTGTGTCCAGTGGACGTTAAACCCATTTTTTCTCTTTCTTTCGTTCAAGTCTAAATCACCCTTGCTAACGATTAAATGGAATATATTACATTTGTAAAGATGTCCATACATATACTTCATTTGGGGTATTGATAAACGGAACATTTTATTCCAATTTTTGGTGGTTTTAATTTATTTCTCCCGTTCTCATTATGCCTGTTCCGGTCATTATTATCTTATTATTTTGTTAGGAATAAGATTGCTAGTTATTGGTATCATTCAACTTTGGCCTCTCAATATTTGTATAAGTAGCCGCAGTGGTCCCACTAATCCCCAAATCAGTTATTGTCCGAATAACAGATCATCCAAATTTAATGCTAAAATAGATCATTTTTTGCGTATATTTCTGTTAAAAAATATTTTCCTTTCCCAGGTCGTCATCAATTAAATCGATCTACCATCTCACAGAAAAAAATTGGTCCAAATTAATGACACAATGTTTATCCCCCCCCCCCCCCTTTCCTTCCACGCACCCCACCTCACCCCGTGCATGGTGCTCTCGCGGACAAGCTGTTAACGGTGATGTTGAAATTAATTACCTTATGTGATTTAGTTAGGCGTTTTTTGCGGTTGTTGGCAGATGTTTTGTGATGGTAATGGTCATAATCAGAATCATCAGACATTGGTACCAAACCTTCCAGTTTCAGTTTCCTTATTCTTTTTTCTTCAGCTTCAGCTAGGGCTTTCTCCTTCTGGTCCAATGTTCTCTACAAGATTGAAAACCTTTATACAATCTACCTGTACATGTATTTATATTTTTGATCTCAAATACAGAATTTAAAGATATATTATGTAATAGCTTAATCTGCCTATTGTAAGTCTTTAATTTGGCTTCAAATGTTATATAAACTATTATTTAGACATTTTTTTATTTCAAGCCTATAATCAACTCTCTAGACCATGGGATTAGAACACCCATGGGAGTTAAAGATCTAACGATAAAATGGATAATCGGTTGTCACGTACCGTTATTACAATAATAAACAATATAATGCGCCACATCTTAAAACAGTCATAACTTCGCCCAGAATAAAGTAATATGAATAAAATTTTCAATATATTTATTTTTCATTATCTATTTTTGAACGGCTAGCTCTTTATCTAAATCTTACATAATGCATATTAATTAAATATTTAATTAGTGACTGGTAATTGCGAGTAGGGTCAACCCTACATGGGACTATAAAATTATATACTTGAATAAATTTACAATTATAGACTGATCTGTAATTTATATTGGATGTAATCATCTATTTGGAAATATATAAAGATTTATTTTGGTTGAACATGTATCTATTAAAATACAGTTATTGTATAGGCTAACTTTCTTGGGGGTTATCCGCTCAAAGAAGAAATTATTTTTCTTTCGAATTCCTTCTTATGAATTGAAGAGGAGAGATAATCGTGGTGAATTACATTATTCTGTATATATGTGTTTGGATTTATATTATATAATGCCCAATACGGGCTTACTCATAGACCGAGACTTCTATTCCTTGAAATGCTCTAAAATAGCTGATATAGTTCAATTCACATATTCCAGTAAAATGAAAATTCGAGATAAACTCCACGTATTTGGACAATTTTTGAAAACTACAGCCAGGAAAGTGAAATGGCACAATTGTATCATGTTTAGGAATTAAGTTGTAACTTAAAAGTAATTACCATTCAATTATAATGAATAACTTACTAGCTAGCAATTACAACTCGGTTCACAAAAAATTACCATTCAACACTAGTTGGTAATTACAATTCAATACAATACTAACATATAATTACCATTCAACATGTTCAATTCTAATATATAATCTACTACTTCTATACATGATATACTATTAATTACAATTCAACATACATGTACATGTATAGCTGATTTTATTGTGCCATTGCTAGTAATCAGCATTCAATACATGATTTAGTCTCACTTGCCCTACAATATGTGCTTTTGTAGTTAGTATTTATAGGGTACGTAGTAACGTGGGAATCTGTGGAAAAGGGTTTTAAACAATGTGTTGATTGTAAAGAAATAGATTGTGGATTCGTATCATGAAATAATAGGAACACAAAGCAAAGAAAAAGAGTTACAGACTAGTGGGTTTATTTTATACAGAATATTACACAAACTATTACCATACTATTTAATTTGATGAAAGTAAAAATGATTAAGAATATTTTATTACCCAATAATACATTCTATAGTAGATATCGCCTGTGTGATAAATTTCATAATCTACTTAGAAGATATCGCTTTACATGAATTTGATTGGTCAGTTGAAAAGGAACTACTTTTTTTTATTTTCAAAGAACAGTTCATTTATTATTAAAAGTAACTTTTTTATATTAAAAATGAACTATTATTATTCAATTGACCTTGATGGAAACACTGGGTCAATATAAAGGACTTTGCAATGGTTGAATTGCTGTCAAAAAATGATGTATCACTACGTCGTAATGTTCAGTAAAAGTGAAATCTACAGCAAAGAATTATATTTATCTATTTGTGCATGTAAGAAGGGATTGGGTGATACATAAAATCTCCTACTCGTCTTTTTTGATATCAAAAAAGACTGGTAGGAGATTCTTTATTTATTACCCAATAATACATTCTATAGTAGATATCGCTTGTGTGATAGTGTAATTTTAATATTCTGCGACGGGCCGTCCAGAATGGGTTCGTTGTCGCTTGGACTGTTTGGGTACACCCCTAATCATAAATGATAAATGAACAAATCGGGCCTTAATAGTCACTGACAAGCGCGTTTCTTTTGTCAATATCGTCCAAGGCATCATAAAATGTAAAAAGTTACGATCTGTTATAGATATACATATGCTGCGCATCATATTCAAAATTTAAATGATTTCATAAAAAAAAGTTGACAAACTTACGGATAAGTGAAAATGACAAAACAATTAGTAAGACCGAACAAATCGATTGATATAAAATATTAGTTAAATGGAGACTAATTTCTCCGAATTGTATCATTGATAATCGGAAGTTTGAAATACTAAATAAAAGTAAAACACAAATGGTGGAAATCATTTAACCAAATTCAGGTTGTGGTGTTAACAAATGATTTCTGTAACCAGTTTTGTTGAGTTTTGCTTAAGGGCTGAATTTAAGAAACTGTCCTAATTTTCGTATAATATAATTTAATTCATAAAACTTACATGATATTCCTCCTCTATTCGACGATGAAATCTTTCGTTCCATTCTCTGTCATTTAACCGGATAACATCCGATCCCATCAACCGAATCAACTCCTCTCGAAATTTGGAATGTTCCAACCTACATAACATCATAATATACATAATGAAGATTTCAAACCACCAAATCCACACAAATAACACAACGAAAAGCCTTATGCACGTTAATATATCACGTTGAGAAAGAAATATACAGTTTTCATTAGGGCGATACAAAGCAGTGCTTTGTTGTAAGTTTATTACGGTACAGATTATTATATTACAGAGAAGTTATCAAACATTAAGGTGAGAACAGGTACATACATATTACTGTAGTTATTATAAATAAGAACACAAATGTGAGTGGGTTACGGTATATAAGAACACAGGGAGGCACACATAAAATGCTTAGCGAAATATATACTAAGACGCAGTGAAAACGCACCACTGGAAATGAGGGATGACTTTTAGTCAGAATGTGTCCACCGTAGGCGTAGACGACGAGGCACGGTATCAAAACTGATGAACCCATGCCGTAGCAGTATGGAAAGCTTTCAGCTTGGGATCTTGCAGATGTTGCTGGATAATGTGCCGGTCTTGTCGAGGCGTTGTCACCTTAGACCTTAGACGTATACCAGTTTTTAATATCCAGTTGGTGCAGAAAAGCAGGACGTAAAACCCCATATCATGCAATCAATCATTTGTAAAACTCCGTTTCATTGCATTTAATTTCAGTTTCGTAAACGGTGTGAAACATTTTAGCTTATTTTAAAACGAAACTGCGGTAAAAAAAATAATAGATATTAAAAAGTCTCCTTGTAAACTTTTAACGGCCATACGGGAAATCAACTAAAATTTGATTCTATACCTTACAGCTGTATATACGAAACGAGACGGAATAATACAGAGTAACTACGGTATATGATTTAAAAAAAAAAGCCGGGGAAATGAGAAACAAATTCACCTGGTTTTATGCCAATGTGTCACAACAAGGATTGGGGTACGTATAAGAATGAACTGATAAATGTATTAGACGATACCAACAGTAAAATAAGAAATACCTAACTCACTGATAGATTAGATAGGTAAATCTGATTAGTTCCAGATGAATACATACAACATGGATTTGTTATATTAATAACATAATACAATACAAGAATTACAGATATTGTTATATTAACTACAAAACAGGTTATTGTTCAAAATACACGTCAACTCAGTACGGAAGACCATTAGGCTTAATCAAATGAAACATAAAATTTTCTGATTACGAGATATTCATAGTGTTTTGGGTTGGGTTTTTTTTTTAGTTTTTTTTGATTTGATTGACCATAATAGTTTCCGTAGCTTAGACATTATAGCGTAAGTTACGTGTATTTCCACTGAGAAACTAATCAATCGATTAAAGATACGCCCAGATTTTGAAAGAAGAGATAGACATAGGACAAACTAAAAAAATTATAATAAAATAAAAAGATTTTTCGTACAATCAGGGGCTATAATCCAGGAAGTTACGGTCCGATAGGCGCAAATATCGATACGAACCCAGGTCTTTGGGATATAAACATATATGTTAAGTTTCATCAAAATCGGATAAAAATTGTGACCTCTCTAGAGGATCTACTACCTTTGGCGTTACATAATTGTACACTATTTGCGTACGTGGAGAGGCCATTTTTTCAGACAGTTTCGGTCCGGTTTTCACTAAATTCACACTTAACCGTTGTTATGGTGTAACAGTGATATATTAAAACCTTTTTTTAAAAAAAGAAATCAGATAAAAATTGTGATCTCTATAGGGTCGACAAGCTACAAAAATGGATTTTTCGTACAATCAGGAGCAATAATCCTGGAGGTGACGGCCCGATAAGCGCGAATTTCGAAAGGAACCGCGATCTTTGGGTTGTTAACATACATAAGTTTCATCAAAATCGGATACAAATTGTTACATCTAGAGGGTTAACAACCTTGGTATTACATACTTTTACAGTATTAGCGTACCTAGATCGGCCATTTTGTCGGGCAGTTTCGGTCCGATTTTCACGAAATTCGAACTCAGCCGTCATTATGGTGTAACGGTGATATGTTTGAACTGTTTTGAAATTCGAATAAAAATTGTGACATCTAGGCGGACCACAAGCTAAAACATGATTTTTTGTACAATCAAGGACCATAATTCATGAAGTTAAAAGCTACATACTTCCAATATGGAAAGAAGCCGGGATCGTTGGGATATAAACCTATAATATATTTCAAGTTTCGCCAAAATCGGATAAAACTTGTGACCTGTAGATTGTCCACAAACAAATTGTAGACGGGCGTACAGACAGAGGCGACGACAATATGTGGAAATTGAATTTGAACAAATCACCGCCAGCTATAAGTGTAGGGTAAAATCTTTTGATGCGCCTGTTATATTTATATATCTTTATTCCAGGCATCTGTTTGATCATAATTGTTGCTAATCTTTAATTTGTCTGATTAAATAAATATCACCGTCCATGTACAAAATATATAATATTATATAAATGATATGTTCCCTCGGGTTAGTAATAACACATATATTTTAGATCAGCACTATGGATCATAAAGGGCAGTATGGCAAATTGGTATGTTCCACAGTCTATGATTATGTGTTTGCCAGAAATGAAACACACCACAAATTCTTTTGAAAATCTTATATAATGTTGTACTACACAGAGGGATAAGCCGGTTGATTTGTGGATATTTTGTGCTAAAAAGAACCCCACAGACTAGAAATTGTCATGAAAAACGTTTCATGAAGAGATGTAGCAGGCACCAGGAGTCACATTGCATGGGAAAGATGATAGGAGAAACTGTAGGTGGTCTGTGTCGAAGAAAATAACAAATAAATCTTTTTAAGACTCATAGTCATAAGAGGTTCAATAAAACTGACTAATACACGCATATTATAATTAAAAAGAGTAAAGCAACAACTATTTGACGACCATGCTTTATTGGCGTCCATGATCGCGTATCGTAGTTCCAAATGTATAACATCAAATTAGACGAACGCATTTAACGATAGCGGACAGCCGCGCTTTTCTAACCAACTTTTCTTGCATCGACAGTTTTGAAAATATTTTAGAACCATTGCTTGAAGCATAGTCTTCTTGACGCTTTAATTAGAATAAAGCAAGATTCATTATTATCGTTTAGTGTTTGCGAATTAATAATTTGGTTATATAAGATCCTCAAAGGGAGTCATGTAAGAATTAACACGATTGTTGCTTCAAAGTTCAATATAATTAGATATTTCTGACTGCACTGTAGTATCGTTAGAATTGATTTTCATATACATCATGGAGTCTCTAATTACGTTAGCGACTGCAACCGATTACCTAAATTTGCATTACCTCCATTGTCTGTGATGTAATGCAACCGTATATTTGAGTCACCTTTACATGTATAGGGAAATCAAACTATCTGATAAGAGTTTTGTTATGCAAACAAACGGAATAATATAGTGACATGATATATCGATCACCAAAGAATTCAATAATATCATATTCAACTAACGTCATAGATATTAGCGCTACCCCTGGGCTGGGTGGCCTAATGGTTCAATGAGAGTGTTTTAGATCATCATACGGTATGTCACTGATTAAAGGAGCGTGGTTTCGACCATCCAACGCCCCGAAACAGTTAAATTTTAATTTTCCAAAACGATCGGTCCACATCCGGACCTTTTTTGAATTTGAATCGTAATTCCCCCCCCCCCCCAAACCACCTTTCAAACGCAATCAAGATTAGTTGAGTAAGCGTAGTATACGAGAACCCTAAATAAGGGTATATAAATGAAGAATATTGTAAGTTCTTAGAGAAGTGACAAATAAACAGACGGGGATATTATCGTAAACAGTGTAAATCCCGAGAAACATTTTTATTGTAGTGAAGGTATTTAAAAAAAAGGCAAAAACAAAAGGGGGCGTGGGGCTTTTTATTAAAATAATATTCTGTTTTTATCTAGTGTGACGTAATCTAGTGTGACGTAATGAGACGTAATATAGATAAACAGCTTGTCGTTCTTGTTTTAATACTTCAAAAATAGATAATGAAAAATGAATATATTGAAAATTTCAATCAACTTACATTATTCGGAGCGAAGTTATGAATGTTTGAAGTTTTGACAAGAACTAGCGTAAATTGTCTTCAGGTCACAATTCTATGGAATACAATTACTGCTTTTTACTGAGCGACGTTTCGACTAGACTTCTCTAGTCATTATATTGTCCTGTCATATTTTCATTTTTTACCATAGCTTGATAATGACTAGAGAAACCTAGTCGAAACGTCGCTCAGTAAAAACAGTAATTGTATTCCATAGAATTGTGACCTGTATACTCTTGTTCAATTACTAAATGCCATTGAAACCGTTTAAATTTTCTTCGATTGTCAAGTTCTACTGCCACTTAAATAAACGGTCTCGATTGTCAGTCCGTCAGTGAATGAGATGGGGAGTATACATAAATAGGAGATTATTGGAAATTAAAATACAGGTTATAGAAGCATTGCGTAGTCACGTGCTTGCTCTCATGGGGTGTGATTTGATGATAATCAAAGTATTGGAAGTGATATCCTTTCAAAAGGCCGATAAATGTAGATATAATAACATGTTACAATTCTTGAATTGTCCATGTTTTCGATGGTGATCAGGCAATTAGATGTATTGTAATCAATCCATTCAAATCGACTAAGAATGGAAAAATCATAATTTACTGTAAAACTTTCATGAAAATAGAAAAAGAATTAGTAAAATATCGATGATGGGCTTTTCATCATTGAAAAAACAAGTGAAGGGGAGAAAGATCTAAGTCACCTTTTCAACGAACCCCAGTTAATTGCGCCATCTGGTAGCAAATTGTATAAGCTTTCTGTGGAACAATCAATTTCAGGTAAAAACGACCGGAGTCACATCGAACCAAGGCCCTTCTGAAATGGCCCCCCGGACAAATACGTCCATCGTACCCTTTATTTGACCTTAATTTGGATGAAAAGTGAAAGTCAATTGTTGTACTGGTAAATATGATTCGTATTAAACATCATTTTGTTAAACCTACTCGTTGTTCTGTTCGCGTCAAGCATTCTCGTCCAAAAGTCTGTTTTGCCGTTTATGCGAAAAGGCAATAATGTGACTTAGATCGTTCTTCCCCTGGACTCTTCAATTGTACAAGCCACATTTCCCTAAAGTTTCATATTTTTTCAGGGAAGACGCCTATACGACGGTAAGACAAATGTATAAAGGTCCAATATATGAAAACAGATATCCATGCATTATTGGTATGAGATATTATATAATAGAAAGATATTGATGAAATATTGGTATGAGATAGATATCCATGCAATATTGGTATGAGATATTATATAATACTATTATATCCATGCAATATTGGTGTATATGAGATATATATATACAAAGTACATGCAATATTTGTATGAGATAGATATCAATGCAATCTTGGTATGAGATGTCATATAATAGAAATATATCCATGCAGTATTGGTATGCGATATACAATTAAAAGGATTTATGACTATCTTACCCTACAGCATTAGCTTTGTATTCTATAATATCACCAGACCTATATTTATCCTTAGTTTTCTCGAGATCAAACTCTTTTAATAACCGCCTAATTATTTTTTCATGTTTTCGTTTCGTTTCTTCTGAATATTCTCTTTCTAGTTCCATCCTTTTACTTATTGTACCATCATTTGTGGGTTTGGCAATTATTTCTGTCTCCATGGCAGCTGAAGATACAAACATTCTGACATTTTCGTCATCGGTAGCTTGATCGCGGGTTCTTCCGATTGGCATAATAATTATGATCCCCAAGGCGTTTTTCTCTTAATTTCGATTTTATTGTTATAACGTAAATCTCGTTAATGGCAATTGTTTACTTCATCGCCGAAACATCGATTGTGCGGTCTTGTGTTTAAACGATGAAGGTTTTAATTTGATATTGGATTCTGTGTCTGATAAAATCTTAGTTTCGGGCATGTCACTGTACTTTATCATTAATTAACTGCACGGCGTTAATTAATTTCGTGTTATTAGGGTAATTGATTTGGTGAAGATAAGAAGGACAGGATCAACGTTAGATAAGACTGAATTAAATCAAAGTGTAATGAATACTTATAATACCAGTACATTACCGTTTGTTGTAGAGTTCATGCAGTTCGAAATATTAGCAGATATATTTTATTGAAAATTACATGGGTTTCATTAGGCGTTAAATCCTAATGTAGTGATTATCTTTAATACACACAGGTTTCGCTCACCGTTTAAAAGAATTTAAGGCTCAGTTTGAAACGTTATCAGATAAATATCAAAGGTGCATTCCCACTTATAAAATTTTATTTGATGATATATTTAGACTAAAAACATATCATTTGCTTGATAAAGACGAGGGTATCCTCGTCGAAACGTCGCTTAGTATTAAACTCATTAATTGTGTATCCATAAAATTGTACCATGTGTTAAAAACACATCGAAGCTTATTTATTTATTTATGAACAGTTTGCTTCAAATCCCACAGAACAGTAGGACGTTAAACCCCATTTCATTTCATTTCGCTTCAAATCCCTCTCAAAACATTTTAACGCAAGACACTATCCCAATGCGTAAAAGAAAATCTATTATAAGCAGCCTTGTTAATCACCTGACTTGACTGAGGGAGGGTCCATTTATGGCTTGTATTTGTCGGTACTTGTTGTCCATTTACATCAAAGTCGAAGTAAATTATTGGATTGTACTCTGCCCACTTCATTTTTCACCGTTTAATAATTTTATTTAATATCATATGTATAATTTAATGTAATTACTCTCGTCGAAATTTCGGTTGTTTTTTTTTTCCAAATCCAAGTTGTTTCATAATATGGGATACACATTTTTTTCTTTACAACAAAGAACCGAAGTGATATCAAAAGAAGTCAGAATCACTGGATATTAGGGGATATTATTCACAACATAATAACTCGCCTTGTCAATTATGTCCCAATTTTCTTTAACACCGACTAAAATAAGTTGTGCTGGCTTCTCGTTTAATACATAAGATGTGCTTTAGATAACAATAGCAATGGAAACATTTTCTGTGCAAATCGCAATCAGTGATTAAATTTCAGTGACACACACTTTTGTAAGCTTCGAACATTTCAGCCAAGGCTAAAGACCTAAATAAATCGGATGGAGCAGAAAAGTAAATCAATTCTTGTCAAAATACTTTTTATCAGAACATCATAGCGACATTTTAAAGCCTAAAGTAGTAGTACGTAACAGGGCATTTTTTAATACAGTGAGTAGTGGGGCAAATACCCCAGTGCTAAAACAAATTTAACGTCCACTCGGCACAAACTAGGTAATTTTGGGACTAACATATAGTTGAATAATTCGCTTGCGTGTAGTGGGGGTAAATCGGGGGACCTGGGGTAAACCCACGACTTTATACAGGTGACAAACAATAAAGAAGCAAAGGGCCAATATATAATATCAAGTGAAAATCACGACCTTTTGGTACTATTTGAGAGATGAAAAGTATAGCTTGTTTAAGTAAACAAAGTACAGGGCGTTCCCCTTCAAAATAAACTATATTATTCATATCGGTTCAAGTAAGCATTATTTTTACTATACGATCTATTTTGAGTAATATACATGTATCTTTACTGCCGAGAAACCACTTTATATAGGTATAAATTTTGTAGCTAACCGATGAAAGTGATATGAATATCCCGTAAATTGTTTTGGGATATACGTTATATTAATTTGTGTTTTTAGATAGCGTGCAGACTATGTCGCACACTAGCCATATTCCCGAAGCAATGCCGAGAAATCCCTCTCTGACCAAGCAATTGACTTCTGATACTTGCGCTTTGAGGAAGTGTTCTTTCCGTTTGATCAACTCTCTCCTAAGTACTGAAACATGACAGCCCTTCGTTTAAACATACATTATGCAAGAGCTAAATCTGCCTATTGCAGATCTTTCTTTAGGTCTGAAATGTTTTCTAAATTATTAATTAGACATTAATTAACTTATCCAGGCCATAATCACCTCTCGATGGCATCGGATTTCTCCGATATTAAATAGATTTGAACAGTTCAGCCATATTTTGATTTAAGCTAAAAATGGAGGTGCGAGACTTAGCTTCGAACAACCAGTACGGTGGTTGAAATTATTGCACACGTCTTGTCAAACCTTCAAAGCCTAATATCTTCGCTAGCAATAGAGTAATTTAAATGAAATTTTCAAATAATTCATTTTACTTTATCTATTTTCGAATTATTATAGCAAGAATGGCTAGCTCTTTATCTAAATCTTACATAATGTATCTTTAAATGAATATTTTTTTACAGCTATGACCCTTGATTTTATGTAAATTGTATACAATCTATGTTATTTTAATAATTCACTTGCGTAATGGCCCAGGGATTACTCACAAGGCTTGACAGGCGGCCCTACGCATTATCAATGGTAGACCCTATCATCTAACGTGCACGCGTTAAACCATTCGACCACACAATTGTCAATAGCAGACCTTATGAATTAACGTGCACGCGTTAAACCCTTCGACCACACAACCCCCCCCCCCCCCCCATGGTTAGAGATGTAATCAGCTTAATACATGTTTTATAGTGGAATTGATCATATCGCTGTGTAATATAATAGACCAATCGAACGATAATAACACTAATAGCCGTTACCGATATCTGTATAAAATTAGTTATTGATGAATCAATCAAATACTTTTATTCCAACGGTTTCTATGGAAGTGTGACTACAAATAGATTGAGCAATTCGCGTTTAATGTGCAGTATGGTATTAGTTGTGTTTCTATCGGTTTTGGTCAGTAGAGGTTTGCCAGGAAACCCTCCACTACACGTACGTTTGTGACACAGTTATCTTCCCACTCATTCATGAATGCGGATATAGTCAATAATCTGTAGTTATGTGTTATGTAGCTGTTGTCTTTTTATAAATCATGTTTAGGCTCTTCATAATAAGCATATTATATAGAAAGTCACCCCTTTTGGCTCGGATTTACAGCTCGTAGTAAATGTGAATACTGAGCAGGGTGTCTATCGGGGCCTAATCAGAAAGGTCCACATTACTATTACAGTTGGTTCCTACAAATTTCATCCCCAAAGTTCATACCAAGATGCTTATAACCTGCAAAACGTAACAGTGATCAGATAATTCTGAAATTCTAAATTGTGAAATTTTGTCATTGTGATCAAACGATTAAAAGATCTTTTAAAATTTGTACTGGAAATGATTGGAAGGCGTAAAACTCCAACATGAATAACCAAACACCAAAATTTTGGATATACCGAAATTCCAAACTTTCTAAAATAATTTAACATGACACAGTATTACTCCGTTGTGATTCGTAATAATTGCATGTTAAAATAATAATTTTGTGTTCGAATAATAATCACATTTTCAAATAATAATCACATTTTCAAATAATAATCACATTTTCAAATAATAATTATACGTCCAAATAATAATTATATGTTCAGATGGTAATAATATGTTTAAATAATAATTATATGTTCAATTGTTCAAATAATAATTATTATGTTCAAATAATAACTAAAATAATGATCTCGATTGTGAATCTATACAAAATACTGGATGAATCTAACTACAAATGACTTACATTACTTTTAGGGCAACTATAAGCTTACAAGATTAGCCATTGCTATATGTATACAATATCTATCTATGAGAGATTAAAAATAATTACTTACTTTAGTCGTAGCCAGGGTGGAATACATGACATGATTACAGGTCAAACTTATTAAAGTCAAGAGACCCACCATAAAACAACGAATGTTTTATAAAGACCCCTTAATTTCTGTTTACTTTGTAATTAAGACAGGTTAACTCCACAAACTCAACAATACATATTGTATTCAGGGATACTCAACGTAGCGGGAAAGTCATTTTAAAGTATCATTTATAAGTAAACATTCGAATATTAGCAAACACTACTCGTGTCCCCTATAAATAAGGTGTTATCTAGACTCATAAAATAACCTCTGTTGATCGAGCTGGCCGTTTCCAGGCCTGCACAATCAATAAACAGAATAAAAGCTACATGATTTTCGTATTTAACTGTTAGAAACTGCGAGAGAATGCTTCAAAGACTGTTGATTAAAAGAAACCCATTTATTAGCAGTACATGTACATATGATTATGATTATGATTATAAATTTGAAAAGAATATACAGATTTGGTTTAATCAATAATGTATACTGTACCCGCTTCAATAAATTCATAACCTAATTCACCAGCGAAGCTTCTATTGCGCACAATTTGATGGCTGGTTTGTGGCATTTGTTTGGAACAGTTGCCATCATATCATTCATAAGCAAGTATACTAATATCATTTGCTGTATGACAAATGTTCCAAATGAAGATGTAGAAACCCCAGAATCAGTGAAACAAAGCCAAAGGCTACGACAACTGAGGAACGATCGCCATGATTGTTCCTTAGACAATTGTGCATCGAGTGAGCTACTTCGATGATGACGTCTCGATCGGTTACCCTAGTCATTGGTACACTCGTTCTTGTGAAATTCAATTAAAGTAAGCCAATAAACGTGTGACATTTGGTTTACCAAGATAAGTATACTTGCTATTCGTACACTTGATATTATCACTCAGTTCATATGTTAAATTCTATACTAAACAAATTTATTAGCAAAGAAAACCGAACATTTTGCTTGGGGAATAGAAAAGGGCGGCCATTGCTATTTGATTTTGCATGTTTATATGATATGATAATGATATGAAATATGTTTTGGTAAAAGAAATAACAGTCTTACTTTTCTGCATCAACCTGGCCAATAAAGTCTAACAGATGCTTGGCAGATTGTGAACATACAGGAAACACAGTTGCTAGTGAGCAAACCTTTCGTTGCTCGACTACAATCGAGATCGGAAAGTCGAACATCCCAGTATGTTACTTACAAGTGCAGGACGACCACCACACAGATAACAACTAGAAATATTCAAACCAAGGACAGCGAGTTAAAGCGGACAAAATGAAGCTATCAAACCAAGTAAATGGACCCGGAGTACTGGTCGCAAAGACAATGTCACAAATTTTAAAACCTTTAATTCTTAATAGTTTGTAGCTTACATCACCGACGTTTAATATATATAGCTACAGATCTGAAAAGTATCCAGTCACTTTGCGCACCTGTTATTCTAATAACTACACATGCCACTGGATAAGAATTTGTGATATTAACACCTATTATACCTCCAGAAAAAACTCCAAGAATACGTGTTTCACTACATGTTATATGACCCGGTTTAGTTCTACGTACAATTGTCCCAGATTCTAAAGTGCCTTTTTTAAGTCTGTCTCGTGTACTATTCACAAATCCGGTAATTATCACTATCCGGTCCAACAGCTGTTGCTCTTTAAACGCGATAACAACCGAGTCTCCGCTTTTTGGACTATAACTCCAAAATATGGCGTCTGCGTATTTCCCTTCATATACTTTTGACAAAGTATGCGGAAGATATGCTTGAAGAGAGGTGAAAAGGTCTGCGGGAGGATTGTCTCCCCTTAGTACATTCATCTTTCTTTCGAAAAATATGTCTTTGTCTTCCTTTCGCTTGTTGGTGGAAAGTGACGAATGCACACCCAAATGTTTAAACAGTTTAGGCACTCGTAGATATATCTGTGTCTGTAGCATCATGGTTAGGAAATCATACATCAAAAAGTCACAAGGCTTTTCATTATAGAATGTCTTCAACACTGTTGCCAATTTTAACACATCTCGGCTGCGGTACAATTTACCTATAAATCCCATGCCCGTAAAATCTAGCATTACCCACTTTTTATCACTATGTTCATCGATGAAATCTTTGATTTTTTTTAAGTATCTTTCAGTAGCTATCACATCATCCTCGAGTTGCATGTAATATTGGGACAGATTTGCGGAATACGTCATCACATATGCGTAATCTAGATTTTGTTTAGAGCGCCACTGGACACGTTTTAGAGGATCGTTAAACGTAATTTCCAAGTTATTAAAATCTGGATAATAACGCGGAGGAATTTTAACAAAGTGTATAACCTTCCGCGTAACAAGTTCTTTGTATTTATTTGTAATGTTTTTGGCAAGTTCTTCATTGTAAAACTGATTGGTATCAGCAAGTAATATGACGATCGTAATTTCCGAATTATCACCATCGTTAATTAAAGATTCCAGGGTTGAGTATATATACACAGCTCCTTTTCGAGACACAGTCGGTATAGCTATTGTTAAAAAACCTGAAACAGAAAATAAACGTACTTTGAAAGTGAAGTGGTTGGTTAATCGGCCTGTTAATAGCTTCAGCAAGGTAATAATTCTCTGTTATTAAGATTAAATGTCCAAGCAAAAGAAACACAAGTAGGAGCAAAATATGAAAGTGTGAAATAGAAGACAAATTACTGATGCCCTTGCCCCATATTCAAATTACTGATTATGCCCTTTTCCCATATTCAAATTATCGAGGATGACCTATATTCACAGAATGAACTACGAGTAGTTCAGCCGACAGGGGAGCAGGCGGGTATACCTTTTTCATAATTCCTAAACTGCAGTACCACTCATAGGGTTTCAATCATACGATCCCGATCAGCTTGGGTGGGGTGGGGGGGGGGGCAGAAATTGAAGTGAGCGAAAAATTGTCAGCGAGCGCCGAAGCACGACTTCGGGGGGGGGGGAGGTAATGGCCAGTGAGCAAATCAACAAGAGCAGTCCGATATAGCCTTATTTATGTAGCTTTCGAACTGAAATCTCACTCTGTGTGCGGTCCACCTGAACTCCAGATTTGGGGCAAGAGGGGATAGAATTGATAATGGCCGAAAAATTCATGTAATGAAAGAGAGAGAAATTGGGTTTAACGTCCACTCGGCGAAAACTAGGTCAATTCGGGGCTGACATATGGTTCTATTTTATTTCAATAATTCGCTTACGCATAGGGGCCTTAAGCAGTGCACTGAAAAAAAACTTGTGTTGAAACAACACAAACTTGTGTTGTTTTCAACACAAGTTAGGTGTCTCTATTTAACAACACAAACTTGTGTTGAAACAACACAAACTTGTGTTAAATGTTGAAACAACATAAGACTTGTGTTAAAATTTACCAAACAACACAAACTTGTGTTGAAACTTGTGTGAAAATCTACACAATACTTGTGTCGAAACTTGTGTTGAAATTTCTGAAACTTGTGTTGAAATTTCTGAAACCTGTGTTGAAATTTCTGAAACTTGTGTGGTTTCATAAAAACTTGTGTATAACCACCAACAAAAACTTGTGTTTTATTTTCCCTCAATTTAGCAATCTTTCCCATGCAGCCCCCCACCCCTTTTGCTCTGTTTAACCTGTAAAGTTTGATAAATGAGGTAACAATAATTTTATTTGTTAAATTATCATTTATTCATAAAATGATAGGAAAAAGTAAATTAACACCACCAAATCAAAACTAAATAGACATCATTTGAAATGTTAACAGAAAAACAGAGATATAATTCTAATACTAATAAAAATTTTGTTATACTTTGCCCCCCTCCCCCAACATCACAAAATACAAAATAGCTATTTAATTTTTTCTTTACCCGAAAACAAGAACTGAGAAAAGAAAGATCCCTACCCCATACCCCAAAAATATATAATTCAAATATATCTAAATTTAATAACATCCAAACCAAGCCCTAATTAGATTAATTATGCACTAAACTGAAATACTTTCAGAAACTGAAAAGTGCTACAAAGTCATATTACAAGTGATTTGTGAGGCATCTAGAAATAACTAGCATACACAGAAAACTAACAAAAGACAAATGCACTATTTTGCAGGAGTAATAAAATGATGTAGAACCTTTTCCTCAAACAAAATGAATATTTTGTACATAAAAGGAGCAAAGCATCAAGATTACAGGATTGAAAAATAAAAAAATATCAGAGAAAATCGCAAACATTAAATAATATGTACAAAATATATATAAATAATCACAAGTCAAAAGCAAGGAGGAGCCACTGTGGTTCAGTGAGTGCATTGGCCGAGAAATTTCAACTGGATTTTCCCACATAGTTCCCACACGTCAGTAGTGTAGGACATGGCAAGGGATAATTGGGTATAAGCCCAGAATTGAAACTACCCCCACTGCGTTTACTTTAAAGAACCCTTGACAATTGAATTATCTGACTCAATGACAGACCCTTCTGATCCAATGTGCGTGTGTTAACCATTCGGCCCTCCTGGGTCCCCTTTAAACAACCCTTGACAGTTGAAATATTTGATATAAGAGTAGGTTGTAGGGCAGAATCACCATAATAACACAGAAAAGTAGGATATTAAACCCTATTTCATTTCATAAGCAAGGGAAAGTCACCTTAATGTAGGTCAAGGTTTTTTGTAATTCTGGGTATATTTGATCTACATTTGGTTTCTAGACTATGCCTATTAAATACTTTATGATTTCCGACCAAATTCTAAGTGATTTATATGTCACTTTACATTCTATATTATACATAAATTTCTGTAGAGAATTAAAATCTAATTGTGTTTGGGATGAATATTTAACAGTAAAAACAAAAAAAAATATTCAAAAATTGGGTCAAATGCATTCTTTTCCAGAATTATAAAATAAATTGATGCTTGGGATCTCTTGTTGTTATCATACATCGAATAATCTTCCAGCCTAAAAAATAAAAAGTAGGCAATAAGAATACTTTCTTACTATTTATGGTTCACAATGTTTGAATAAACAATTTATTTTGCCACATCGAGACTGAGTCTCTATTTTGTTTCATCTTTGGGTAACACTTATTGTGTCTTGTCCAGTAACAGACCCAGGCAGATTATTATATTTTCTTTCCTTCGACAACAAATTGGATATTACCTATTAAAATCTATTTGAAAAGTAAAATATTGTCCATTTTTATACTGCTATTTACTGTAAAAATACACATAGGGTCTATCACAACTTGAAGAAAATCAATGGATGTGATTGTCAAAAATCAAGAATGCCAAGACTTGAATAGGAGAGTCCTAGGCATTGCCCCAAGAAGAATAACTAGATTACCAATCAAGTGTATAGAACTAGTTGATGATTAAAAATACAAATATGTATGTTACTTACATTTTACCTGATTATCAAGCTCTGTGAGAAAAAGTTTCCATAATATGAATAGCCATTTCCAACTGTCTTGATCTTTCTGATGTAGTTAACTGAGAAAAAAACCATACTATGTTTTAGTTGACTGTCTAGTCATTCAGATTGAACAAAAAAACGTGGTCCCGTGTACACATTGGTGTGCATGTAAAAGATCCCCTGGCAGTTAGAATTTGATACAAGAGAAGGCCTTAAGGTCACGGTACCCGGCAAAATTTCTCTCGTAGCACACTGTATGGCATATGCCCAACTTCATTAGCCCAGTCCTCCGTACTGCAATGTCTTACTGCAAACCCGCGACCTTAAAATATGCGAGCCAGTGTCTAACCCACTTGGCCACCGTGGTCCCCCACAGATGAGACAGTCATATCTACATGTATCTGGACATAAGTAAGATTCTGTTTGTGCACATACATGTACGTGTACAAATTTACTATACTAAACTGAATTTTAAATTTCAAAACAATGAAATGAAATGGAGGTTTATGTCACATCAGCTCCAACCGGGATATATTGTGCCAAACACATTATGGTGAGATTCTAAAATACCATAACAACAATCTTTTCTATTAGAATTGAACACTCACCCTCCAAAAACACCTATGAGAAAGCATAGGTGCTCAAATCACCATTTCTTCAGCTCTTTCTTTTTCCATATTTGGGTTTTTTGACTTATTTTATTATATGATCTTTGATTTGCTATGGCATCTAATATGGAAACTGAAAAATATGAATATGTGACATGTAATAAACTGTTTAAGATACCTTACCATATACAAACTGTGTGATATCTAAAACCATTTGAATCCCGAAGATCTTACCCAAGCCTTGAAAATCTGTTTTAATAACCCTTGATTGTCATGTGACTGGACTGTCACAGTAATTAGAAGAGAGTCATGTGGCTTAGTGTGTAAGGCACTGGCTTGGTACCCGGGAGGTTGCGGGTTCGCTCCCAGTGTTGACCGAGAAAGCTCATTTGAATTTTTCAGCATGGATTCCATGCCTAGTCGTCATGGTGGCTAAGTGGGTAAGACGCTGGCTCGCTAGCCTGGAGGTCGGGTGTTCGATCCCTGCATTGGCCGAGAAAGTTCACCCAGATTTCCCGGCGTGGTTCCCCCTTGTCAGTGATGCAGGACGGAGGGCCTGACAAGGACAGCTGTCTAGTCATTCGGATGAAATGAAAAAACGAGGTCCCGTGTACACGTTGGCGTGCACGTAAAAGATCCCTTGACAGTTGGAATTCGATACACCGCAGTGCCGCTGTCCGGGCAAAATTTCCTCATAGCACACTGTGTGGTGTATGCCTGTCTTCATTAGCCCAGTTCGGAGCAAAACAGTAGGACGTTAAACCCCATTTCATTTCATTTCTAGTCGTTTCAATGGAACACAAAACCTGAGGTCCCATTGGCGTGCATTTAAGCCGATAGTATGGTAGTTGGAATTTGTTGGCTGTAGCACCCGTGTCACAGTTCGACTGCTAGTTTGCGATACCCACTCGATATGAATGAGTGGTGATTGGCTAATGAATTCTAAAATCAGACGAATGCTTCGGCGAAGCGGACACACCACTCAAATACAATTCGGCCAAATATATCAAACATGTTTGATTCGGGCGTATGTCAGTGGATAAACTAGGTGAAGTTTAGCGCCAATTGATTCAGCCAAATCCTTTGGCTAGTTTATCCAGCACTGACGATTTAAGTTTGTACTTTCTTTATATGCAAATATCACATTTGAAAGAGGCTGTAAGCCTACTTTCTTTATATGCAAATATCTTATTTGAAATAGGCCATTATTATGTGATTCCCCACTTGAATGTGACTAGGAATAGGGTCGCCTGTCCAGCCTTGTGGGTTTTCTCCGGGTCCTCCGGTTTCCTCCCTTTCCTAAATACCCCTAGGGTGTATTCGAAACAGTGTTCCGGTGCAGAGAACGGACGGAGAATGGGTTCTTGTCGGACTTGAGCAGTCTGGAATGCGTTCACGAACACATTCCCGTTCTCAAATCCCACACTACCTCATAGCTGGTGTGAGGGAGAACAAACATGGTCGACGTATCGATAACTGCTGAGAAAACAGCATCATGGGTGCATTTATTAATTTAAAAGTTTAATACCGTTCGAAAATTGGATGTAGTATGTGGCCAGTATAACATCAAGTAAGTTAGGTTGCCAGGCAACGAAACATATGCCCACAGCAGTTTAATCGTTTGCGCAGTCAACAGGGATTGTCGCATATTCATTCTTTTGTAGGTAATGTGGGCATTTACAAGAAAATTTCATACAAGATTATAATTTTCGTCGTTTGTGGGTTTACAAAGGTCGACGCATCGATAACTGCTGAGAAAACAGCATCATGGGTGCATTTATTAATTTAGAAGTTTAATACCGTTCGAAAATTGGATGTAGTATGTGGCCAGTATAACATGAAGTAAGTTAGGTTGCCAGGCAACGAAACATATGCCCACAGCAGTTTAATCGTTTGCGCAGTCAACAGGGATTGTCGCATATTCATTCTTTTGTAGGTAATGTGGGCATTTACAAGAAAATTTCATACAAGATTATAATTTTTGTCGTTTGTGGGTTTACAAAGGTTCTACAAACTGAAACAAGGGCCTTTATTGTTGAAATTTGACAGATTTTTTTGTTTTGTGTTTTACTAATTTAAATAATGCATACAATTTTCATACAAATCGGATGATAATTTTGTTGTTCGTGCGTTCACAAGGTTCGAAAAAGTGAAACAAGGGCCACAACTCTAGACATAATTCACAGAAATCGCAGAAATTTAATAGACGTCTTCGTTTCACTAATTTAAAAGATTCAAATGAATTTCACAAAGTGAAACAAGGGCCATAACTCCAGAAGAAACTAACAGAAATTATTGAAATTAAATAGGATTCATCTCATTAAAATAAACAACATATCAATTTTAAAATAATCAGTTCTGTAGACGACGGACAAACCTACGGACGAGGGCGTATCAAAAGGTGATGTAATCGTCATCCAAAGAATTGAAAAGGAGTAAAACGGTGTCATAATTTATCAAAATAATGCTTAATAGCGAAGTAAATACTAAACAAGTTATCGTAACAGATTGTATGAATTTAATTCATCTTGTTACCATGGATACCGTTCTCTCATGTTCGAGACTCATGAAAGTGTTTTCATGTTCTTCAGCCGTTCTCGAACCTGCGCAAACACTGTTTCTAATACACTCCTACGGTACGCGCAAGCAAATCATTCAAATAAAATTGAACAATATTAGCCTCGAAATTACCTAGCGCCAGTAAGTATAAAGGATCTATCCGACAAACACTAACAACAACTCTAGGTTGATTACATGTCATTTGGGACTCACGTCATTTGGGACTCGCGTCATTTGGGACTCAAAAAAATATGACCACGACATTTGGGACTCCGGTATACGTCGTTTGGGACTCGGGTTAACGACGTTTGGGACTCGGGATAATTTATTAGAAATAGGCCAATTCAAACAAAACACGAAAGAAAATATTTATTAACATGAAACACGTGGTTAGTAAAAGGCTCAACCAAACGATAAAACATTAGTTGCTTTTACGGTTCTTTGATAATCATCGTTTCTCATAAAAGTTTTATATTTATTTAAAACGAATAATATGCTGATGAATTTATTTGAAAATGACCTACACAAAAAAACAAAATAAATATTTACACGACATGCAATCTTTTTTTACAAGCCCCTAGAAATTGTTAACGATAATCCGTGAGCTGCACGTTGACATGCTTGTCGTAGATGGCAATACCAATTGATAAATTAGTGCGTACAAGGCAAAGTTTTTTTGTGGAAAATATAAGAAATGGCAACGATTAAAGCGGGATAATTAAAGCTGATTAACTGATAATCCCAATGTTATTACAGTATGTTCAAAGAAACCTAACGGTTCTTTGGTGGATGAGGAAAAATGTGAGTTGTCAATCATCGAGAATGGCGGCCGTGTGTTGATTGCAGTTATACCGTTTCACGAAAAAACATTAGCAGTGGTCTGTCAATCAAGCTCGTTTACTATTTCTAACGCAAATTTTTCGTTTCGGTTAAAACAAAATATACGTCCATTTTAATTGGCCGAAGGATGTGTGACTAATAGAAATATGGCGGGCGGACAAACTGACCAAACAGTATATTTCGAGGTATTTGAGGTAAGCTAATTTAATATTATATCATAACTGCATGTGCATACTTGTGTTTCTGTGTGATTAAATATTCAAAAAATCATTCTTAGGATACAGCCTCGACACCAGTCAGCCCTGAATTGCAATGTTTGTTTTGTGTTCTGGGCGCCATTTTGAAAAAAACTGACATGACCTATATAATACAATCCAGCAATAGTGCAGTCAATTTCCTTTAAAAGGGAATCCGAATATTCATGTATTTTCTTATTGAAGAGTAGCTATTTCAATTTGTAAATGTCCAGTCATCTTAGACAAATAATAATTCCAACTTCAAATCAGTTGTATTTATTCAAATCATACTATGAATAATTGTATTTTTCCACTTGCATAATAATAAAAACTTGACTTTTATTATTTTATTTCTTCAGGCCAAGAACATGGAAAATTGGTAATTGCCTTGTATCACTGCTAACTATAAGGCACAGGGAGCCTTGGGCAGAAATGATAATAATATGGTTCTCAGATATGTTACTGTGTACAGACTGAACAAAAAATATATATACACTTGCTATTACATGTACATTATATCATTGGCAATAATAAGATCCAATTTTAGTTTTTAATTACACACTGTTAACCACCAATAGATGAAAATAAATCATAAAATGTATTCAGCTCGACGTAAGACTTAAATAAATAGATACAGTATCACCTTGCAGCTGAATCACATTACATATCTTTTTAGTTGATGTTCATATCGTCTTACGTATTTGTCAACATCAATGTGACCTTGTTCTATGTCACATTAGCCTATTCACGTTACCACGAATTTACTCACCACACCATCGCATAGTTATGAATTTATTGTTTCACTTGACTAAAGAAACATTTTGTAGGAATGTATGCTTTTATAGATTGGACACTTGTTTGCAATATCATTGTCGGTGGAAACTGGCACTATACCTAAAGAATGACTGAACAAATAGCGGAGACGGGGTTTCAGCCGGCTGATTTAAATTATTTCTTTAAATACAGTAAAGCTTGAAATATGTCAGTTTTCCCTCTTTAGAATGTTTTTGTAAATAAGTTTTTATTGTAGTTTCCGTGGCGTATTCCCAATAAGCGTTAGAAACAAAGATATACACCCTTAATCCCGGTGCCGATAAATGTTGGGTTGTGTGGAACATGCTAACAAATCTCAGGTACGATATATGTTTGATTCTGGTTGAGAACAGCATGAGAGCAACATGATTGTTTTCATTGGAGATGAGACGCAAATATTCAAAGGGGTCAGACAAACTCTAAACCAACCGCGTTCCCTTCACTGAGTCCCTTCAAAGGAGGCCCTGTCTGTCTACCCGTGGAATAACATGCATTTGTATCTGTTAAATTTGTGTGGTAGACAGATTGATATTATTTATATAACGTCTTACCCCAAACAAATTGCAAAAGAAACCATGAAGTTTCTGAGAGCGATATTTCGTAATTAGTGTGCTTTAATGGTGGGAGAATAAATAATTAAATTTTTCAAACACAAACAGGTCATATATAAAATAGCATTTTCTGACAAGACCAGCGATAATCTCGTAAGATATGACTTTTACTATGTCTATTAAATGGTTTTCGACGTCTCTTCAAGGTCACCGTCTTGCGCCAAAGTCGTGAAACGCACCGTCGGGGGATTTGTTGGGGCCTGTCTCCCCCAGAAAAATTTCTAGAAATTTCAAGTCGGTCTTGCCTGGCCGTGAATACGGCAACCTGAAAGTGGTCGATTTTAATGTAGACATCTGAACTCCAATCAACAAATCAATCAACCAGGCTGTTGTCGTTGCATTCACATGACACCAGACGTGTCACCGATGAAACAAATATGCCTGAAACAAATGTCGCTGTTAGTGCGACCCATTTGTGACAATTTCAAGGTCCCAAATAATAGTCCTTTTTTACTATTAATAGTAATTCAATCAGTAAGTGCTATTTACCTTATAATAGTCGTCTTGGCTTTTACCCGACATTACACAAAACACCAATGGTAACTGTCGGGTGGTCTCTCCAGTCTTAATGAAGGCGTGTATGGAAAACAGCTGAGACCATGGCTTGTTCACCACCCGAAAAGTTGCATCCATATACCAAGTTTTTGCGCGTGCGAGTAGTTGCATCTGTCTATCAGTACAAAAAATGTGATGGCGCCTTTCCCCAACTTTTACTCTTTTTTGATAAAATCCCGGTGCACTATGATCGATGAAATCTTCGTCAAGCTAAAACAAAAAATAAATAAAAAAGTACATTTAAGTACATGTTAATAAATAAATAAAATTGTACATTTAATTACATGTTAATAAATCCTTATATACATGGGTATTTAATTACATGAGTACTTACGCTTGACGACACGTCAGTGGGATCTTTTGGTCGCAGAGTCTGTCGGGTTCTTTATAGCGACCTTACAAGTGCTGCAATGGGTGGTCTGCTATGAATGGGTTCTTCTGCAGAACCGACACTGGATAAAACTCTCTCCGCTATTGAGGAACATGCCTTAGTAAAAACATTTCCTTTGGCTTCATGCTTTGCCTGTAATGATAAGATAAAACATATTAAACTACAAATATATTATTGGTTTATTTATATTTTATTTATTTATTTATATATTAAATTCATTTATTATTATAGAGTTAACTAGGTTAACTAGAGTTAATTATGCAGAATTAATATAACACAACATACACAGATGGCAATAGAATGAGACAGTGTTCAGAAAAAGGGCGGAAGAAGACTACCTGTCCTACTTGATTCTAGGACATATATATAGCATGGACCTACTTGATTCGACCAATTTAATACAAGGAAATGAATGGCATAGTTTGTGTCAAGTGAATTTAGTGAACTTTAAACCCCATTTACTCGACCTCTCTCTACAGAGATAAATACTTTTCGTGTTACATACAATAACAATTATTGGCCATTATTAAAAAAATATATTAAAAGGAAATGAAATTCTGTTACCTGTTTTTCTTTGTGTAGTACATGCTAACATCAATGACTGGAAAAAAAAATAACGAAACTGTAGAGAAACTTCTGAATCATTGAAAGTCTAATATTAGGCCTACACATTGATGACATTGATATAAAAAAAAGGCTGATTTGTTTGTTGTTGTTTTTTTCTTTTACAGAAATAAGATTACATTTCAACTAAACAACTAACACAAAAGTTAGTATCTAGCTATAGTCCATGTCTGGATATACATTTCTCCTTTTGCCCGAACGTCTATAAAAATCAAAGATGGCGGCCAATAATTGCAACCGGGTATTACTATAAAATCAAGACAGATTCTTACCTGCTGGTCCTAGTCGGGGGTTTCTTGCAATTATAAGTATTTGAACAACGGTGTAGCGCCGATTAGCTAATAATAATTAAGCACGATTTCAGAAAAATTAAGACAGATTCATTAGATTGCTGAATTAGCGGAACACTTTTAGAACACATCAAAAACATTTTCTTTGTGGCGCCATTATATAAATAGACTTCCGGTGCAGTCAGTGGCAGTAGTTCTAAATCTGACTGTTTTAAACGAAACGAATTATTATATACATAGAAGCAATATATACATGCTAAATTAAATACACGGTTTTATTTTTTGTAAAAATTTACAAACCTGCGGTCTGGTATTCTATGTGACCATTATAATTTTTTTAAAAATATCACGGCTAAAGCACCCTGTTGATGCTAACTTCACTACATCTATCTAACTGAATGTCGCTGATATAATATCAAAGAAAGAATTTGTCGCAATGACTAAAGTATAGATACTTCTTCTTAGTTAGTTGTATTTTACGTCCGCTTCCACTAGGGGTGTCACAATAAGACATTTTTTTTACAAATCATTTCAGGCCAGCAATTTCCAGAGGCGAAATTGCTAGCTGAACACGATTTTTAGAAATTTTTTTATCTATGACGTCATTTTCGGTTGGGGTTTGTCTGATTTCCAAAATGGCCGCCAAAAGTTGACGTAAAATGAATTTCCAGATAGGATGGGTGATTTTCATGCAAGGTATGGCTTGTAATATATCATATATAAGGTTTTTGTTGTAATTGAACTGAAAAATAATCTCTAAAACTAGTTTCCCCAAATCCAAGATGGCGGAAATTCAAAATGGCGGCTAAAATTTACCTAAAATGGCCGATTTGTCAGATTAAAGTCATTTCACAGTTTGATTTGGTTTGTAATATGTAATCTAAAGGGTTTTCACTGTCACTGAACTTAAAATTAATCTAAAGAAAAAAAGAGTTTTCAAAATCCAAGATGGCGGAAATTCAAAATGTCGACCAAAATTTATCTAAAATGGCCGATTTGTCAGATAAAAGTCATTTCACTCTTTGATATGGTTTGTAATACGTAATTTAAAGGGTTTTGAATGTCATTGAACTTAAAATCAATCTAAAATAGAGTTTCCAAAATCCAAGATGGCGGAAATTAAAAAATGGCGGCCAGATTTTCTCTAAATTGGTCAATTTTTAAGATAATCGTCAATTTTCTGTTTGATATGGCTTGTAATATGTCCTCTATTAAGTTTTCAGAGTCACTGAATTTGATAATTGTAGATGATTGTTTCAGAAAAAAAAGGGACAATCACCAATCTTTCTATTGGATTGGTTTATAATAGCAAATTGTAATAGTTTTTTTAGGGCAACTGAATTTGATCTGACCCAGGAATCTACCTTAATCTAAAGAAAAAAAGAGTTTTCAAAATCCAAGATGGCGGAAATTCAAAATGTCAACCAAAATTTATCTAAAATGGCCGATTTGTCAGATAAAAGTCATTTCACTCTTTGATATGGTTTGTAACACGTAATTTAAAGGGTTTTCAATGTCATTGAACTTAAAATCAATCTAAAATAGAGTTTCCAAAATCCAAGATGGCGGAAATTAAAAAAATGGCGGCCAGATTTTCTCTAAATTGATCAATTTTTAAGATAATCGTCAATTTTCTGTTTTGATATGGCTTGTAATATGTCCTCTATTAAGTTTTCAGAGTCACTGAATTTGATAGGGGGGTTGGATGGCTGAATGGTTAGCATGCGCGTGCTGTATCATAAAGTCTGTCATTGAGTCGACTGGCGTGATTTTGAATCCCCGGTTGTACGTGGCAAGGAGTAGGGTCGCCTGTCCAACCTCGTGGGTTTTCTCCGGGTCCTCTGGTTTCCTCCCACTGCTAAAGACCCCTACGCACAAGCCAATTATGTAAATAAAATTAAACCATATGTTAGTCCCGAAATGACCTAGTTTGTGCCGAGTGGACGTTAAACCCCATTTCTCTCTCTTTCTCTCTGAATTTGATAATTGAAGATGATTGTTTCAGAAAAAAAAGGGACAATCATCAATCTTTCTCTTGGATTGGTTTATAATAGCAAATTGTAATACTTTTTTTAAGGGCAACTTAATTTGACCTGACCCAGGAATCTACCTGTCAATAAATAAACCATGTGCAGAACTTACCAGTCAGCTAATTAGAATTTCAAAGAATTTAACCTTAAGACACAATAAATGTAGCTTAATTGTTTTTATGCATAAAACCCCCATAACAATACAACGGGGCCAACTGACGCATTTTTAATTTCATCTCCTTTGTCTTTGCACCATTTTACCGGAGTGAGAATCATTTGTGGTATATCCAGTCGTTAAGAATTTAAGTTCTCCTATTCGTTCAGAAATTTTAATGTGGTCCGTTTTTGCATCGAAGACTCCGTGTCCAGTAACTTTTGTGGTATAGTCTAGATGTTGTATCCACAGGTCATTTTCGTCAGTTACGTATTTCACAACAAGTTCTACATGTAAGAACAACACATAAGAAAAGAGGAAATCGTGGGAGATGACTTTTGGGATACCTAGTCGTAAATGCATTTCCAATTATTTTCGTGATGATTATTTTTAACTTAGAACTTGGTGTGCATTACATTACAGACGAATATGATCTGTGGATACCATACCACACAAGTTGCGGACACAGAGACTTCGATGATTCATTTTACACTTTTCACTTTATGAAATACATGACTGACAAATATGAATTCATCTGTCTAGATGATACCACAAACGGTTTCCGGACATAAGTCTTCTGAACAAAAGTTAATAAATATTGATATTCGTCAAGCAGTGTGCTATGAGGAAAATTGGCCCAGACAGTGGTACTATGGTGTACTCTTATTTCGAATTCCAACTGTCTAGGGTTCTTGTATGCGCTCGTCAACGTGTACATATAAACTTGGTTTCTCGAGAAGCCCCCCGGTGCTGCATCCTGACAAGGAGAAACCACACTGGAAAATCCTAAGGTACTTTTTCAGCAAACATAGGGATCGAACCCCAGATCTCGTTCTTAGCGAGTCTTACTCACTGAACCACTATTTCGAACCATTTCTGAATAAACAATAGATAAATTCTTAACAACTGGATATATATACCTCACTGTTTTGCTGGAATAATATTAAATCTTGTTTATGTGAGATCCAGTATAACAGTTCCAGTTACCATCAAAATAACTACTACTCTTTGCTATTACAAGCCAATCCCATAGGAAAATTCACGATTGTCCTGTTGTATTTTTAAGCAATCATCTACCATCTTCAAAATTCATTTTTGATGTAATATTCATTTTCAAAATTCATTTTTGAGGTAATATTCATTTTCAAAATTCATTTTTGAGGTTATTTTCAAGTTCGTGGAATTTGAAAACCTAATAAAGGACATTATTACAAGCCATACAAAACCGAAAAAATGACGATTATCTGAAAAATCGTTCATTTTAGGAAATTCTGGTCGCCATTTTGGATTTTGGAAACTCTTCTTTTGAGGTTGTTGAGTGACACAGAAAACCCTTTAAATCGCATATCACTCGCCATATCAAACTTAAAAATGACGATTATCCGAAAAATCGACCATTTTAGGGAAATTCTGGCCGCCATTTTGAATTTCCGCCATCTTGGATTTTGGAACCCCGTTATATTTAGATTAATTTTAAGTTTAGTGACACTGAAAATCCTTTAAATTACATATTATAAATCATATCAAAGAGTGAAATGACTTTTATCTGACAAATCAGCCATTTTATATTTTTGTATTTATTGATGTCAGTAAGATGTTACTATGGAGAACGTAAATTTCAGATTATACATTCCAGACTTCGTAATTGTAAAAGTGCTCTAAACTTCCATAGATTTTTAATGCATATTTCACATAACCCGACATGCAGTTGTGGTCATACTCAAGAAGACAGCGACCATTATTTTCTGCACTGCCCAAATTATTCGTCTCAGCGTATCTCAACATTAAATACCCTCCCATTTAAATCCATAAATACAAAAGCGTTCCTATATGGCGATACCAACGAAAGTAACCCGTTCAACAAAGTGAGTTTTAGTAAAGTTCACAAGTATTTAAAACTAAACAAGCGCTTTGAATAGATAAGGTAATTGTCAGGCGACGATGATTGGTGTTAAATAGTGATGATGACGATGATGATGACGATGATGATGACCATGAAGATGATTTATTTATATATTTATTTATATACTAGAAGAATGCCCGGCTTCGCTCGGGGGTCATAACTCCGAAACCGGAAGTGGTAGACTAACGCCACCTGGCCCATGTTACTCCCCGGTATGAGCTACCCCTATATCCCAAATTTCAGACTCGGAAATGACAACGTGAATGATGGATCAGTCGAACGACAGAGTGAATGACAGGAGTTTTCCAGTCGAATAATAAAGATAATGGCAACGCTGGTCATAGCATATCTGTTTATAATATATTTCATATAAATGTTTATACACGTATTTGAAAAATACATTTAGGTCTACGTGTAATGTTGAATGTATAAATTCGGAAATGTTTTGATCTCTTGAACTGTATTATTTAAAATACACGATTAACGTATTAAATTGTAAATAATGAATCAAGCCAAGACATGTATTAAATGTTTTAAATGTTTTATTGAATTGGAATAGAAACTGAAAACAGATTAACACCCTGTGTGAGATATTTCATTCAAATATTGTGAAAGGGTTGGTAATAAAATTAAAATTGTCATTGTGTCATTTTAATAACATTGAATCGTCCTATTCTGTTACGTAGTCGTCTCAACATATTGTTGTCGTGGGTTACTTCTGCTAAACAACTCAATAGAAACGAGTAAAGTATTATAAACGAAATTATGTCTAAAGAGTTCTTCATGACATGTATTGACTGTAAGACACAAAGCGTACAGGATCTAAGTGTGATGTTAAAGGTCAACACGTAACTAGTGAACTGATATATATTGTACAATTTATCTAAAGAGTACATTTATGAAAACGTGGTACTTTTCTGATATCTAGTTAAATTAACACTTACCCAGATATTGGCATAAGCATGACTTAAAATGATCACGGCTAAAACACTTCCGTGACAATCAAGAATTCTTTATGTAAGAATAGAGCTTTATAAGACCGTAAATGCACCACACATTATGTCTCCATAAGATGGTAGCTATATCAAACTTAAAAATGACGATTATCCGAAAAATCGACCATTTTAGGGAAATTCTGGCCGCCATTTTGAATTTCCGCCATCTTGGATTTTGGAACCCCGTTATATTTAGATTAATTTTAAGTTTAGTGACACTGAAAATCCTTTAAATTACATATTATAAATCATATCAAAGAGTGAAATGACTTTTATCTGACAAATCAGCCATTTTAGGTAAATTTTGGCCGCCATTTTGAATTTCCGCCATCTTGGATTTGGGGAAACTAGTTTTAGAGATTATTTTTTCAGTTCAATTACTAAAAAACCTTATATATGATATATTACAAGCCATACCTTGCGTGATAATCACCCATACTATCTGAAAATTAATTTTTCGTCAAATTCTGGCGGCCATTTTGGAAATCAGAAAAACCCCAACCGAAAATGACGTCACAGAAGTAAAATAATCTCATAATCGTCTTCAGTGACAAATTTTGCCTCAGAAACAACCCGACCCCAAATTTTGTTCCGATTGTGACACCCCTACTTCCACCGAAGTGATATCGCAGACAAAAAGTATAGATAACTTGGAGAACCATTATATCAATAAGTCGATTATGAGATACACGTGGATGATCAATTAAATTTGATTGGTTACTTTTCAGTTAACCAATACTGTCCAATTTCGATTACATCAACTAATTACATTATTAAGAGTTTTACTCATTTTTTTTGTTCATTGTACATTGAATCAATTTTCGAAAACACCAGGGTGCTGAAAATCACATGTACACTATATATTCATTTGATCTATCAGTTTATTGGGTCAATAAAAAAAGACAGACATTTTAACTTTACAGACAACTTAACATCAATTAACATTCAAGTCTGTCTGGCAATTGTCAGATTAATTGGTACTCACACCCTTCCAGTGAAGAACAGCATGTGATTTTCGAGATGTGAATTAAGCCCTTTATTACTTTTCTTAAAACTTGACGACTCCCGAATTCAGACTTTGTATGGAGTTTTTTTTTTAAAAAGAAAACAAATCTTGGAAGGTACACATTACTTGTGTTAATGATATGAAAAAAACACAAGATTTTATAAATCGACACAAGTTTGTGTTAATGCAATGCAAAACAACACATAACTTGTGTAGATTAGTTTTAACACAAGTACTTGTGTTGAGATCCAACACAAGTGTTTTTTCAGTGTGGGAGGAATCCGGAGGACCCGGAGAAAACCCACGAGGTTGGACAGGCGACCAACGCGTAACGCGCACGCGCTCGCCATTCGGCCATCCAACTCCCCGATTCCTGAAATGAGAGTCGCCAAAGGTTCAGCCGGTCGCCAGTGTCTACTCAAGTCTAGGTGCTGTGGGGGCATGTCTCCCCCAGAAAATTTATGATAATCAGAAGGCCAAAAACGCATTTTCTGCCATTCCAGCCCGTGAGTACAGAAGCAAGACATAACCTTATTTATATCGCTCTGGGATTAACCGAAATCTCTCTCCGTGCCCATCTGAATTCTAGAAGTTGCGGGAGAGGGGACAGAAATGAAATGGCCTAAAAAGTTCCCGCTCAGATTCCTCAAAGCAGCTGCCGACAGAACGGATCTCCGTTTGGGGATTATGGGGACGATATGTTTCCCAGGAAACTTATGAAAATGTGAGACCACCGCAAACTCGTTTCCTGCTTTTTCGGCCTATGAAAATGGTGCAATATAGCCCATGTAAATGTAGCACCATAGGTCTTTCTGTCTGACGTGGAGAGCGTCTATGGGAAACCGGTCGCCACATCCTACGTACGACCCATGCATCTTTTCTTACTACATATTTCTGTAGCCTTGTGATCGTCTAGAAATTGTCTCTAGCTGTCTTTACTTCTGCTTCACGTTGTGTATTTACTTCTTCCAGTTTCTTAAGACGTTTGTCTTACCAGGAATAATAATGCATAGTTCGCTTCTACATTTTATATAGCATATAACTGAATACGGGTATACAAGCATAGCACAAATTACAATACTATATAGCTAAAACCACTTCTCCACCTATCCAGCCTCTCGGCTGTCTAGGAACTCAGATGTACCCTCGATCTCTGGAATCTAATGCAAGTCTGACTTACAGGGTTCCCCGGTTTCTTTTAAAGGTAAATGAATATCAAGCACAATAACGCGTGATCATGGCCCTGAACTTGTGTAATTAACAAAATGATTGGTTACTTTAAATCAAATGATGCAATTAGAATAATTCCATTCACGTGTAATTCTGGTGGTAAATGAGTGACATATGTTTTCGATAAATAACTCTTTTTTTATGTGTCAACTGTCAATTACAGACTAAGTTGATTTAGTGCACACTATATATGTGAATATGTTTGAAATTACTAACTTGCCAAAGATATTAATTAATGAAATATAAAGGCATCTCATTTCAAGAGCAAAAATTCTAGCAATATTATTACATAAACTCAAATCAAGCAGTCAATAAATCAAACTGATGCCGCTGCAATCACTTGACATTTCACTGATGAAACAAATTATGAAGCTCGAAAAACATGTCGCGCTTAGAGCTTAGTGACTACGCTATAGAGTAACGCCAGACACTGTTTATTACATTGTATTTAATGTTTTATCGACTTCAGAAATATTTATGCCACAAATAACGAATACTGTCGCACAATGCAGAGTGACTTTAAACAAAGATTCAAGGGATTTCGGGCACTTTTTTTTGCCGATTAGAAGGAAAAGGAAGTTTTTTTTATTTAACATTATAGTTTTTTTTCACTTTGGCCGCCTGATTGCTCCCCTCCATCCTCGGGTTCGTATGGTTTCGATAAAACCATTGTATATATATATACATTACGATGTATTATGCTTAAGATTATTATCCAATACGTTTGAATACAACATTGACTGTTGTTTGCAAAAATGAAATGAAATGAAATGGGGTTTAACGTCCTACTGTTCTGCTCCTATACTGGGCTAATGAAGAGGGGCATACGCCATACAGTGTGCTATGAGCGAAATTTTGCCTACTCTTATATCGAATTCCAACTGCCAAGGGATCTTTTACGTGCATGCCAATGTATACACGGGACCTCGATTTTTCGTCTCATCCGAAGGACTAGACAGCCGCCCTTGTCAGCCCCCCCCCCCACCCCGTCCTGCATCACTGACAAGGGGGAACCACGCCGGAAAATCGGGATGAACTTTCTCGGCCAATGCAGGAATCGAACACCAGACCTCCAGGGTAGCGAGCCAGCGTCTTACCCGCTTAGTCACCGTGATGCCCTGCTGTTTGCAATCCATATCGATAATTGTTAGAATAATATGGGCCGTGTCAAGAGATGAATGATTAATTGATTGTATTAAATAGAACTAGATTTTATAATAAAAAAAAATCAAGAGTTTACCTTTTCTGTTAGGTACTGGAATATTCACGTCTGTAGCTACCTGCAAAGTGTAGATTATTTATAACTCAAATAGACAAGAGCAACAAAAAGTCACATGAGCTCACCAAATGAGAAGTGGTATCAAGTATAGAAAGAGTAAACGATACTCTGCCATGTACACGATTTCAGTAGCTAAAGCCAGTGGATATAATATTTGTATTTGAGTATTAAATAATTTGACAAAAAGGTATAACAGGTTACATTTAATATACATTTGAATTATGTATGCATTTGAGCCTATTATTGTGCAATTGGGTTCAATATTATATTTAGCCTGCTTATCGGTGTTTTCCTGCTAGAAGAATAAAACCTAGACATTATGTAAATATAATTTGTACACTTAACAATACACTTATTAGCTGAAACTACCTGAGTTGTATTTTATTTATAATTTATTGCATTTGAGATAACAAAGACAATGATGACCCATAATATATTTTATCGCATATGGACATAATATTCATTTCAGTTATTACAAAAACTTCGTATTGCATTTTCTGGGTTCCTGGTACTTTTAAATAACACAATTCAGAAGCAATTAACACAGAAAAGACGATCGTCTTACCGTTACAAACCCAGTCTGATGCGGAACTCTCAAGCCCTCATCAAAATCGCACACCAGGCCTCATAGAGGAATCCACGGCCACTTTGACTTCAACTCGGCCATGGTAGCCGTATTTTCAGAAGTCGGGGACACATTTGCTTTAAACTAACCAGTCTCATCTTTGGAAGCCAGGGTTACCTTTGCGACATACAAGAATATTTATTGCAGTATATTGTCAGAAATACCTTCAACATTATTTGTTGAAACAAACGGTAAAAACCTGACTGACTATGTTGTGTGTCGTACAGACACATGAAGGCATTGGATCACTCGCTTAAATAAGATAATATTGAGTGGAGCCATGTATCGAATGTCCAGCTGACAACACAAACAAAAGTAAGGTGGTGGTGGTGTCGTAATACACGTAGATACGTATTAGTTTAACAGTAAAATTTTTGAATGCCCATGATTTATCGAGGTCGTTTCAGGGTTGGTTGATTTTTTTGTTATGGAAGATAAAATCAGGGTATCATGTATGGGTGAATAAATCCTTCTTTAAGGTACAATGTTGGTGTCGACCAACATCAAATAATAATGTGTCCCATGAGCTCATCAAATGAGAATTGGTATCAAGTATAGAAAGAGTAAACGATTTCAGTAGCTAAAGTCAATTGGTATTTGTATTTGAGTATAATTTGTTATCATTAACCAGCCCTTAATCAAAGTAATTATTGTTGAATATGTATATTAACTTAGAAATCATAACAATTTTAGCTTCGAATATTGTCCATTATTTATCTCTCTATAATACTTACTGTAAACAAATGTTATTTAGGTAGCCTACCAATTTAACAATTACGGGCTCGATGAATGTTAAGGGGGCAGAACCTGAAATGCCCGAAAAAATTTCAGCGGAGCTTACCGTATAGTAGGACCCCCACGGCCGCAAACGCGTTTTCCTGGCGCCAATCGTGATAGTGGGAACCAAGCGTTAAGACGGTTGTATTAACATCTTCTATTTCTGTGTAATTATTGTCAATAGTAGGGTGACCCACCATAAATAAATATCTCCAAATATCTCGACAATTACACCACAATATTTATATATATACCAAGCCTTAAATCAGTTTCGCACATTAATGGTCACTAAATAAACGGTCATGTTGTACTTAATAAGCTATAACCATTTAACCATCCATAAATGATACACTGAAAATGGTTACGAGTGTCGGCCATAACGTCCGGGCACTTGTGAGTAAAAAATAGGTTACGTGCCCTTGTTTTGAAATTAGTCTCGCTTAACCAGTCTATCGACCATTTTACGTCTGATTGACAGGCCGGGATAACCAAGACTACTTTTTTACGCAACTTAACAGAAAGCTGGAAGAAGAAATTGAATTTAGAAACACGCACGTTAGGCAACTCAACAATACTGCTAGTATCATGGTCTTGTCTAACCCGGGTGTTTCTGGGATATTATTTGTACTAAACCAAAAGATGCCGCTACTAACGGTACAGTCAATGGTCAAGCAATTTAAAAAATAAAACGAAGGTAATTTCTAAAGCTGCTGTAATAACCAAAAAGCTAAATATTACTGCTATTCAGAAACTTCAACAATAGATTTTTTAAGGCTGTAATAGTTGACAGATGTGTAGAGAATTTCACGTGCGATGGCTATTTATAGTCTCATCGCCTCTAGCGCCGAATATTATCACACTGCGTGGTTAGCCAGAAATCACTTCGAGACAAGCCACTGAAGCCTGCACATTCGCCGTGTCGAGTCCAACTTTCTGTACTGAAAATTTTCACTTCACAGGCCACCCTTGTAACACCTCACTGATTTGCCTGAATGAAATGAATAGTCAGACCTTTTATTCTCCTTAACACCGTCCCATATATAAAAAATAAAATAGATATTTGAAAAAATATGCCAATAACAATATATAATATAAAGAAGACGGTGTCTGAAACTGTATACGTATGTGTTATACTGATGCACAAATTAAGCTTACCGTTACAATAACTTCTTCTGTGGCTGAAATGGGAAAATTTGAAACAAAACATGGTAAATACTGAAGATTGATATCTCACTGTAGCACTTATAATTCTAGCTTTAGCTATAGTATGACTTTAGCTTAATAAAGCAAGTACGTCGTATACGGTCTTAAGATCGCATTCTTCATATTAAATGTGGGCGTATTTAAATTTTAAATACAAGTTGACTTAGTACTTACCTTGAAAATTTGTTTCCATAGTCATATATGATCGTAGATTTAAAAAAGCAACACTGAAAATAAGAACCACCAGTATCAGTTTTATTCTCGCACACCATCGCCTTGCCATTTATGACTCTTTAATCTCCTGCTATCACGTCTATATAAGTATAAGGAACTGTAGCGATGCGGTGATATTAACTGACTCCTTAATAATACTCGTTCGGCTAAAGTGCTGATATATATATATGTCAATTATAAAAATACACACATCCTTAGCAACGCCTACTATTGTGTAATTGATAGATTCAATATTATTTTGTAGCCAGCGTATGGATCACAGCATAAGCTGTGACTGTCGTGGGGATTCGTCTAAAGTATACGCTCTCAATTACAACATATTTACTCTGATTTTCATGTTTTATTTATCAGTATTGGATTGCGGGAAAGAGAGAGGTTTTCTATAATAAACATAGTCAGAATGTTTGTTGATAATTTTACTTACAGACATTGATTTCCCAGGGTATGTCACGAGTTCTAAGTGTCTTAAGCTGCGTTCACACTGCATGCGCATTCAATGCGAATTCCGGAGACCGGTCTCCGGATTGTTTTTTCCCGCTTTAAAAGCGGTGCGTCACATTACAGTTTATTCGGAAATGAAATGAAATGAAATGGAGTTTAACGTCCTACTGTTCTGCTCCTAACCTGGGCTAATGAAGACGGGCATACGCCATACAGTGTGCTATGAGGGAAATTTTGCCCGGACAGCGGCACTACGGCCTACTCTTATATCGAATTCCAACTGCCAAGGGATCTTTTACGTGCACGCCAATGTGTACACGGGACCTCGGTTTTTCGTCCCATCCGAACGACTAGACAGCTTTCCTTACAGTTTATTCGGATTGAATTCAGAATATGTAATATATGTTAGAGACTAGACTCCACTAGACTTGAGACGACTAAAGCTTACCTGCCCTGCCCCCAAGGTCTAGAACGTGAATGGCCAGCTGTGATCTGAATACACCTATCTTTGTATTTGAATTTTTATATGCCCATATTGAAATGTGGTCGTATATTGTGGTCGCCCCCGCCCGACGCGCTAGAGGCTAATGTTAATATCTGATTGACTTTAAATTTATGCACAGTGTTTAAGGTCATGGATGAAGAAGCAAATTGAATTTGAACGATTTATGATAATTACTGCTAGAGTTATGGCCCATGAGATTGATGCACAGTGTTTAAGGTCATGGATGAAGAAGCCAGTTGATTTTGAACGATTTGCGATAATTATTGCCAGAGTAATGGGCAATGATATTAAATGTTAGTATAAGGCAGAACTCGTAATCAGAATTTAGTGTGTTGTAAATGTTTGCATTACTGACAAAAGGAAAAGTATACCACAACACTTGTTGACTGCTCGGAGGACTTAGCTGCTAAGGGCGTATGTTTCGTTGCCTGACAACCTATCATTAGCTGGCTATATTACCGCAACATTTGTTTCAGTTTCCGGTATAACTGTTGATCTGAGTCAATCGTGTCACACTCAAATCTTGACTGCGAATAACCCCATTCGGAATAATGGTTCCGGGTTGAATTCGGAGAAATATACGGATTCGTTAATTCAGATTCAGTTCGGTTTTTATCGAATTGAGTGTGACGCCAAAGTCCGGAATAAGACTTTATTCTGAATTCAATTCATATTAAACCCGTATAGTGTGAACGCAGCTTTATTGTCTAACTAAAAAATTTAAGCACGTGTTGTGCCTTGCTTGTCATCGAGATCGTCAAGTTCTGAAGTCGCGAACATTTAGACGTCTTTGTTTCAATACGTGCCGGAAATGAGATGTTACGTAACAAAACCGTCTCGAGAAGTCAAAATGATAACTAACGCACCCACATGGCTCCTCAAAAATCAGACAAAGTGTGATTTTTAAACAAGCAAAAATGTAATTAATAAAGTGTCCATCACTTTAAATGTTCACGTTGGCTCCTACGGTGGGGAATCACCCTGGTCGCTTGGTATTTAGTTATTCACTATTATTTGGTACCAGTATTATTAGTGTGTGGACTGCTCTGGTATATGTAACTCCTTGAAGTCTTCCCCCGATGTCTTTAGTGGTGGCTATATCAACTTTTCGAACTAAACCATCTTCGTTAACATGAGGTTTGGCGGCGATCATCATCGGTCAGTTGTTGCGTGATACGTTGTCGTCAATAAACAATACGATGTCACCATTTCGTAAATTACGTATAGGTCTGTGCCAATTTTGTCGCTCTTGGTAACTTTGTAAGACTTCTTTCTTCCATCGTGTCCAAAATTCATTCACCATAAAATGTGCCTTTCTCCATTGTCTGTGTAAATACATATCTTCTTGAACAAAATTACCAGGTGGTGGTAGAATTATTCCAGATTTCATAGTCAATGCATTTGATGGAGATAGAGGTTTTAGCTCAGGATCCGATATGGACTCAACTGCAAGTGGCTTAGAATTCGCTACAGCCTAGGCTTCTACCAGGAACGTTTCCAGCGTTTCGTCTGCGAGTCGAGACTTGCGTTGATGAAGGAGTGATTCCAAAATTCGTCTTATTGTACCAATCTGTCTTTCCCATGCACCATGAAAGTGGGGTGCATATGGAGTGCTGGGTATAAAGGTGAGGTCGCAATCAAATTGTTGGAGAATACTCAATTTCAGCTTATTCTGGTCTAAATCATCAATAAGCTTCTGTAATTCGTTGGCGGCACCAATAATCTGAGATCCTCGATCGGATCTTATGACTTTAACTCTGCCACGCCTACAGATGAAACGTCTCAATCCACATAATAAAGAGTCTGTTGTCAAAGAGTGAAGAACTTCCAGATGAACGGCTCTTGAGGCTTGGCAAGAAAAAAGTATTCCATATCTTTTCACTTCTGATCTTCTGACTTTTATCAGGAATGGACCAAAAATATCACACACGTTTACTATTAGGTTGGGGTACAGGTTAAGTAGTATACTTAAAATTAAAGCAATTATAAAAAAACCAGTATAATATGTACATGCAGAGTCAACAAACATGGTTGTTGAATGGAGTGACTATTGCATTAAAACTAGCCGCATACACGTATTTAGAGGCCTTTATGCATCAACAGTATTCAGTTTTCGCATCGTCGCATAATTTAAACACCCTGAAAGATAATTTCCCACAAAAGTATTTATCGGGTGGTTATTTTCAATAAAAGTATGGCAATTGTGATATATATGGAAAGTAGAAATATCCAATCTTACTAGAAAAATACTGGATTCCCTGAAAAACACCCATGGAGCGCATACAGGACAAAAACGTAAGGGTTCCCTAACCGGCAACCCGACGATTAGGGATGTCTGCTCGAGTGACGTCAAAGGGTGCACGCGAAGATTTTCTGTTTTCTCAGCGTTAGTGATCGCTTATGGTGAGCTTAGGCATACAACAGTTTCTTTTGCCCGGCCTTGGAAATTGTTGAGAGATACATGGTCTCTATCGTCGTTTTGGCGTATATTTTGGGTAATCATGTGTCGCTTTGACAAAACATAGAAACTGAGATTGTATATAAAAACATACCAAATACATGTATCAACTACGCTACGTTTTAGTTTTACTGATATGCAATAAAATCTCAGTTCTGACAGGAAACTTTAAGGATGCAAAATAGAAAAACAAATAACCGACTGCATCAAACACCAAAATATCAAGAATATTCATCACATAAACTATTCGTTTATTTATTTTTTTTCCAATAGACCGGGGCAGAGATAACTGGGACAAGAACCTAAAATAGAGTTCTGCACAATTATTAGAACTCCAAATATAATGGGGAGAATAAGCGGTGTTGATGTTTTTTGATGAACCGTTCTATAACGTCATTTATATCTATCTGGAAAGTATAGTTAACGTTCATTAGGACTAAGCTTGTAACACGACCATCCGTCATAGTAGAACCTTCTGATGATAAAGAATAAAGCACACGATCGTGACACTTTCTCATTAAAAGTGCTGTTTTACACATTTTCTTATGTATCCCACCCGTCTGGGTCCGACCCTGAAACTATAAATTTTTGGAAAGCTTATAACATCATGAACACAAATCCCCAGAGTTCCAAGTAGAATGTGTGCAATAACTCTATATAAATGGGCTAATGAACAGGAGAACATGATTTAGGGCCTGATGAAAATCGTCACAATTGTCAAGTAAAATTAAATATTGGCGAAAACACATGATGCGTTCATCCTCGGCAAAGAATATGGTATTGGTTAAATTTTGATTTAAACCAAATTGCAGAAAACAAAATGGATGAAGTAACGAACATCAGAGCGTATGTACTCTTGGCTGTTTCTTCCCCTTTGATTACCCTTGATTACCCGAGATTTGTTAACTACCCCCCTACTCAAAGGAGCAGAATACGAAAAATGTGGAAATTAAAACGCTACTTTCTTGATAAAATTTCGAAACACTTTAAAAGTAAACTTCCTAAACAGGAACTGGCCTCTCTAATTTGTATTTAACATATCGGTAGGAATGTTGTATTCTTTCTAACCTTTGAATTTATTGTCTTAATATCATTGTTTTCTATGTAAACACCCCAAATGACACGTGGAAATGAAATGAATAAGGGTTTATCCTCTTCTTTTCTGAACCAAATTTAGGAAGTTATGATTTATAGATAACAATATATGTTTTTTTGTTATAATCATGAGAATTCTAATGGTCGAAAAGTGGTTAATTTATATTAGCGTTTTACATTTTAATGTTAATCCAAGATGACGTTTTCAGTGACACAGCAATGGTTCTCACTTACATATCATAGAAAAATGCAAATTAAATAATTGTACAAAATATTTACACACAATTCATGTATTTGTATGGCTCGCAACCTGGTGGTCCGGTGTTTGGTCCCTGTGTCAGTGATGTGTAATGGAGGGCCTGGGAAGGGACAATGTAGTGTCATTCGGAAGGGAAGAAAAACAGGGTCCTGTTTATACCCACTGGCATGCACTTAAATGAACCCATGGCAGTTTAGAATTCGATACAAGAGTAGACAGTAGCATTGCTGTCCTGGCAAGATTACCTTCACAGCAGACTGCATGGTGAATGCCCATCTTTATTAGCCCAGTTGGAGCAGAAAAGTAGGACGTTAAACTCCATTCCATTGCATTTCAAAAGCAAGGGTAAGTCACTGAATCTCTAACATAATATTTTCCATAATATTCAAAATTAAAAACACGAA